GGAATTCACATTTGTCGGGTTGTATTTTTAGGTTTGCTTTCCGTAAACGTTTGAAAACTTCTGTAATCCGGGCGATATGTTCATGAATAGTAGGGGAATAGACGATAATATCGTCCATATAGACAAGGCAACGTTCATTCTGAATTCCCATTAAGATGTTGTCCATTACGCGTTGAAAGGTGGAAGGGGCGTTCTTCAATCCAAATGGCATACGAACGAATTCATAATGCCCATTTTCCACAGAAAATGCGGTTTTCTGGATATCTTTGGGATCAATCTCAATTTGGTGGAATCCGGAAGCCAAATCGAGGGTGGTGAAATATTGGCACTTGCCTAATTGGTCGAGAAGATCGGAGATGTTCGGAAGTGGATACTTGTCGTCGATAGTCACTTCATTCAGTTTTCGGTAGTCGATGACTACTCGCCACTTCTGTTTACCAGAAGCATCAAGCTTCTTTGGTACGACCCAAACGGGGGAAGACCATGGTGAAACTGAAGGCTGAATGATACCTTGATTGAGCATTTTCGATATTTGTGTCTTTACCTCTTCTTTATGTACTTGAGGGTACCGATAAGATTTGGTAAATGTAGGTCTACTGTCTTTCGTGTCGATGGGGTGTTTAATTTCGTTTGTGAATGTCAGGTTGTCACCTTCAAGATAGAAAATGTCTGAGAAATCTAAACAAAGTTCTGTTATGAGATTTTGTTCTTCTTCATTGAGATGATCGAGACGTAGTTGATTTTTAATTTCGAATTGTCGGTCAATTGGTACATCTGTATCTGATATTTGCATAGCCAAGTTATTTACTGAGAAATCCTGGAATGGTTCTAACACAAGATCGGAAAAATCCACTGTTTTTGGAATAGCATTAACGTTCAAAACCGAAGTTAGAAATTCTCCATTTTCGTCAATTTTGACAATTGAATTTGGTATTTTGACTTTTTCGATTTCCTGACCTATCAGTATAGCGTCGGTATTTAAAAAGTTGCATTTCAACTTGAACACTTGTTCGGTTCGAGGTTCGATATTTATTTTATTATGATATTCTCTAGAGGGTGGTGTATCAACTGAAGGTTGAGTATTTTCGTCGTCGGTTACTTTAAAAAGAGGGACAGTTTTGAAGTCAGTAATCAGTTTTTTATTTTTGAGGTCTATTATGCAATTATAATGTTCTAGAAAATCAGAGCCAAGGAGTCCGTCAAATTCTATATCTAAGTTGTGAATGTAAATTTTATGTGGGTCTTCAGGTTTGAATGGAATTAAAGTTGATTCGTTAATAATTATTTTCTGGTCGGTTATGCCTTGAATAGAAATATTTTCTGGAGAACGTTTTCGGTATTTTTCGCAAGTCTTTGGTTTAAAAATCGAAAGTCCTGCACCAGTATCTATTAGAATTTTGAAGGTATTGGTGATGTCTTTGATGTAGTGTAAGTTTTTCGAATTAACAGGCAATAGAGGTTTTAAATGAACCGTTGTTCCGGGAAATTCACATTCGGATCGAAACTGTCTAGGTTCATTGTTTGGATTTGGGCTTGAAGTTCGTCCATAGTATTCTGTTGTGGTTTGTTCGGTGGGTCGCCAGGATTCAGCCCTGACTGAAAATCCTGAATATCCGAATTTTGGGGTAGATTGTCATAGTCCGGGTACTGTGTCGAAAATTGATCATGTTCAAATTGTCTTTCAGCGTTATGGTAATCGAATTGTTGGATTCTGCTATCAGCAGTATGATAGACTTGATCGTAATTTTGATTTTCACTAGCTGTATAGTGATCATCTTGATAAAAATCATTCTCATAATATTGGTCATATTGTTGATAATTCAAATGGTGTGTCTGTTGATTATTTGGTCTGTTAAAATTTGGATTCGATTGAATGGTAGGTTGTCTTTGATTGTTGAAGTTCGGGTTAGGTCTTATGATTGATGGTCGGTTTTGTTGAAATTGATTGGGTGGTTGATATTGATTGAATTGAGGAGGTCGCTGTACTGGATTTGGGGTTTGGAATGGTCTTGAAGGCCCAGCTTGATTGAAATTTTGTTGGTTTGGTCTTGGAGGGTATTGTGGTCTATTTTGGGAATTCTGTTTTGCGCGGCATTCATGAATCAAATGTCCGGTACGTCCACAATATGAACATTGTTTTATTTGTTGAGATGAAATCGGTTTTCGAACAGAAACTGCATTCGGATTTCGATAGCTTTGTGAGTTAGGCAATTTTTGATTTTCGAAATAACTCAACTGCATTTCTCGTCTGATACGAGTAATTGCGGTTAACATATCGGTTGGGGTGCCTGCTCGAATTATTTGACCAAGTTTTGGATCTAATCCAGTCAACAGGGTGTTCAAACTCATAGTTTCTATAAGCCTGGACTGCGCGCCTCTTTGGTCTGGTGGTAAAATTTGTTTATTTACAGCGGCGTGCATTTTGGCATTATGCGTTTGCAATCGTTGAACGAATGTCATTGCATTTTCGCCGGGAAGTTGACGAAGTCTTTGGAGATCTTGAATTAATGAAGTCAAGTCTCTGGAATCGCCAAAGTGGGTATCTAAAAGATGTCTAACTTCTTCCCAAGTAAGTGGGTTTCTCGAATTCACTAGCTCTGCAGCACGTCCACGTAATTTATTTTTTATGTGAAGTGTTACTAGTAGTCGTTGTTCGTCGACTGCCATTCTGTAAGCGGTATTACAGGCTTGTAAAAAGGTGGTTAAAAATATTGGATTGCCATCATATTCCGGTATGATGGAAAATATTTCATTGAGTCTGTATGGCTCAATTTCTGCAGGTGGTCGTGGTGGTGCCACGTTTACGTTATCGTCATTCATTGCAATTGGTTTTTTGTTGAAATGTGACAAAAAGGGGAAACAATTGGATAATGGAACAGTTACTTGGATGTTTCAAATTTGAAATGCGGTACGATTCAATATAGTACTTACAGGATCAGTATCATTGAGTTCGTCGTGTTCTCGTCGATTCTGCCAGGGGCTTCACCAGGTGTTCCTTCCACAGCTCTTCGAGTGATGACTCCCTCAGGTTGGTTCTTTGATTTCGGCAAAGGATTGGGATCCACCGTCACTAGTTAGGTCGTTTCCGTGTTCTAGCAACGTCACGAAATCCTACCGACTGCGCCAATTTGTTATCTCGTGGTTTTCGAAATAGACTTTTTAAAAACAATTTTATTTATTCCGGCATAGATTAAGTTTATACAATGAGCTTTATTTCAAGACTAACTTTTTGATACAATATGAAATGAATTTATATTAAAAATAATGCTGATGCCAGCGTCAGCAGATATTATATTCCATTTCTGCGGATGCTGACTTCAAGGTCAAGATCATGTTCTGAGGAATTGTTATCGCTGGTAAGTTGATACTACTGAGAACAATGGGAACTGATTTTAGCATATAACAGGCATCTTTATCATTCTTTTGAAGTAATCAAATATCTGATGTCACTTCTGTCCGTTCAGTTCTGTGATTTGATTTTAAAAAATTGCGAATTCAGTAGTTGTTTAGTAATATACGAAACCGTGAAGTCGAATGGAAGATAAAATGACTTGCAGTTCTTTCTCGGAGACGGTATTATTGACTCATTTTTCGGAACTATAGCACAACAAAAGCCATTAACAGAGTATATATATGTGATATATATCCGGGAAAAAAGAACTCACTTTTTTCCCACGGGAAAAAAGTAATTTATGAAAAGTGACATTTTATAACCTGCCAACAGAGATGAAATGCCAAACTTTTTTCCCGTCACAGAAAAAAGAATTTTATTCACCCCTGAGCTTGGTTGATGGATTACCTGAGATTTACTAGGTGTTTTAAATCTTAATTGTATTGACAACAGAAAAAGTTTTTTTAGTGCCCAGTTTGATACCGTAGAAACTAGACACTGGTAGTTCAGCGGGACAAATGGGTGTAGTTAGGCTTAGTAAAATACTAAGTTTGATAGGGATGAATATGCTTTTAATCACAAATAAATTCTGAAATGACAAATAATGTGCTTCAAATGTTACTAGTTGGCTCAAGACTTCAAAGTAACTGAATATCAATATCAATATTACATAGGCAGTGTACAATTATTGCAACAACAAGAAATATAAATTGACTGACTGAAATCAACTCTTCAGATCAGTGTGAAGTAATACAATGACTGCTCAAAATCAACTCTCTGAGACAGTATGATAATATATAACTTATTAAACAACAAAATAACTCAGTAAATCAGTATCAATGAGACAAAAGAAATAACAAGGCCTATTTTACCGCAGTGCACTTTTGGTTAACAGGGGTATATTTGGTAGCTATACTGAGTGTATATTAAATCAATGACATGTTGCAATTATATTATGTTGAATGAAACTTTAAACTGATAAATTATGGTTGGTGGTAGTTTATCCCAAGTAAAATATTATCCCTGATGGTGCATGGAACGAACTCAACAAATTATGAGCAGATCCTGATCCATCATCTGGTTCTGATGTACAGGGGGATCAGGTGAAGTCAGGGCAGCGTCAGGTGGTGTATTGTACCTATTTATATTGAAACTACAATTCGAACATCATTGAAAATTTGAAATTGAAGTTTCTTCTTCTTCTTGCTAGCATATTCATCATTCTTCTGATATAATCAAATTCCTGTCAGTCTGATTCTTATAACAGCGAAGTGGAATGGAATGATAGATATACGGACTTGCAGTTGTTTCTCAGAGACGGTGTTATTTGCTTATTTCTCGAAACTAGCACAACAAAGGCCATCAACAGAGTATGGAAAAAAAGAAATTCATGAAAAGTGACATCTTATAACCTGTCAACAGAGATGAAATTTCAAACTTTTTTCCGTCACAGAAACATTTTTTTCTGACGTACGCTACTTCCGCCATTTTGGAAAGGTTGAAAAAATGTTGAGATACTACAGCTATTCAAATCGCCTCTGCCAAAGCATTTGCATTTTTTTTTCTGTCATAAGAAAATGGCAAGAAGTTTTAATCACCCTGTACTTACTTCTGGGGCATACACGTTTATGTATAAGCAGTCCTCATATCCAGAAACAGTTACATCAGAATTGCCAGGTATCGTTTCAACACAAGTTTGACCTTCTTCAGTAGCATCCAAAACACCTTTCCAGGGCATAGATGGTTCCGAAGCCTACAAAAAGATGAATACACAATAATTAATAATAATTATAATAATATATATCATCTTTATTATTTTCATACAGAAAATAAACATCAATCTCATCTTATAAATACCTATATACTATAAGTGGAAATATAGGGCGAAGTTCATTTCCTGTAAATCAAGGATTTCCAGATAATGCTCTTTCACTTAACCCTTGAGAATAGAGAATATATGAATAAAGATCTATAGGTAGATATATACATAAAATAAATGTTAATCCAACAATTCAAACTGTGATTTATTTCAAAACCATCACGGAAAAAAAGGATTTGTTGCATCAACAAATTATTTATGCTCGAATTATTTTTGTTGGACTAAGCAAATTTTTGTTGAATCAACCAGATACATGATTATTTCATGGAATCAGCTTGTTCAAATCAAGAATGTAGTCTAATTCAATCAACAGTTTAGTATCAATTCCATCAACAAAATATATGGTTTTATCAGAAACAAATTATATTGATCCAAAATAATGTCGATGTTGATTCAATTATAAACATTTTGTTGATTTGATCAAATAATGATCATTTTGATGGAAATATATCTTTGGAACAAGAAACAAGTTTTCTTATTCCGATGTAGCAATGAACTTGTTTCGAACGGATCATTTGATGCTTGAATAGAGCAACGAAATATGTAATATCAATGAAATATTTTGTTCATTCTACATCAACTTAAATTTTCGCCTCTAGATGACGATCATTTCGCCTCGTCTATGCCTGCCTCGAATTCATTATATACGTGAAGCCTGATTCTTCGTGTTTAAAATATCAACTAGATAAATCGAACTTCGGATGATTAGCAATCCTAAATAGTTTTCCATCAGCTGAAGAGAAGTGAAGACTGATGATCCATGCTAAGAGTCGACTTGTTTTCTAGTTTTGTTTATTCTATTGAGGTGAAATTTCAGAAAATTCCCGAATATTGAATTCCGTTCAACAAAACAATTTGTCGAATGGATATATAGGTTCTCTTGAATCAACAAAATATTTCATGGAATTAACCAAATATTCTGAATCAAACAAATATTTCATTGAATCAACCAAATATTTCTTTGAATCAACCAAATATTCCGTTGAATCAACTAAATATTCGATTGAATCAATATCTTATTATTTTGAATCCAACAAAATGATTGTTTAAGCCAATTCAATATCTCTTCAAAACCATTCATGGGTGTGCTTGATCGAAGAAGATCCAGAGTTCATGCAAGACATATTTACTTGATTCAAACCTCAAATTCGCTCTGAAACAAGATATAGATTTACTCATTTCAAGATTATATTTTGTCGTGCATATATGACACTTTTATTTGCTCCATTCAATTGAATTTTGCTTAATTCAACAATTCCTTTTTTTCCGAGTATACCCAGTTCCAAATTAGAATTCTTCGTTCAAAAAGAACAAGAAGTTATATTCTCGAACAAGATATAGGAAGGCTGATTTCAATACCTCAGGAATGATTGTCATCACAAACCCAATGCTTTGCAGTTATTTTTATAAGAACATACAGGGTGATTCACCATAAATGTCCCCCCCTCTAGCTCACTTATTTCTGAACCGTTTTAAAAATTTGAAAGATAATCTGTAATGATTTTTCAGACATTTTTTTCCCGTTGCATCAGAAAATACAGGGTGCTCGGAACAAACGATCTACAGAGTACTAATTGGTTTTTTAATGGAACACCCTGTATCTTATTGTATTTTCAGATTCTTCCTGAAGAGCTGATTTCATCAATGTATCACACTTGGGGTCTAGCGGGAATGATTACAGAGATATAGGGTGTTTAAAATCGAGATTTTCCAACTTTAGGATTTTTTTGTGCCGAAACTATTCATTATTGGTCGAAACGGCTTGTATGTTCCCATCTCAACTTTTGATTTACTATCTAGTGAAATTTAATTGGAACATTTACAGGGTGGTTCAAGATTCAGAATTCTGGTCACCTTGTATCTGTTCCAATTATTAAATGTCAGTAGATAGTAAATCAAAAGTTAAGATACGGACATGAAAACCGCGTGACCGATAATGAATAGTTTCGTCACAAAAAAATCCTAAAGTTAAAAATCTCGATTTTGTACACCCTATATCTCTGTAATGAATCCCGCTAGACCCCAAGTGTGATACATTGATCAAATCAGCTCTTCAGGGAGAATCTAAAAATACAATGAAAAATAGGGTGTTTCATTTAAAAAAATCAAATAGTACCCTGTAGATCGTTTGTTCCGAGCACCCTGTATTTTCTGATCTAGCGGAAAAAAACTTTATCGAAAATCATTCAAGATTATATTTCAAATTTTGAAATCGGTTCAAAAATAACTGAGCTAGAGGGGGGGACATTTATGGTGAATCACCCTGTACAATTTTTGCCAAAAAAAACTTTCCAAAAATGCCCATTTTCGAAGAACACCTTGTAACTCCGAAACGAAGACAGATATGTAGTTATCACCATTGAGTTTTCCATGAGAATCGACCCTCAGACAACGACATCAGTTTTCCTCTATCTAGATGGAGAATAGGGCGTTTCTTTCGAAAGTGACCAATTTGGCCCACCCTGTACATGTGAAGAGTTGTTTGCCCCTCGAGTTCTCATGCTTCCATTTCAGAGGGCTGCACGAAGCATTGCACTGATATCTACAAGTCTTATTGATAATGTTGGCTTGAAGTGTACAGGGTATCCCAATTTGGGCACTTTTGCGGGGTATCTCCCTTTTCAGTATGAAGATAGAGCATTGCGGTTTTCGCGACAGTCTCCTACTTTTCTATGAAATTGATAATGGCACAAGCTGAATTGTGATAGCTCTTCCGGTTGTCGAGATATACAGGGTGGAATTGAAAAATATTACTTTTCAAGCACCCCCCGTGTCTAAGTTATCTTTGAATTTATCGAAGAAGTTTTTAGTATTTTTTATTGATTGTATACTCACTCGAAATCTGAGGTTGCCAATCGGTGGTTTCGCATATGGAATTCCTTGGTATGCCCAAAATGTCTTACCGTTGTATGTGGTTTTCGTGCGACCCTGTATATATCCGTTATTCGTGGATACGATGAGATTTCTCACCTGAAAATGAATCTCGTTAGGATAATGATAAAGAGAAATGTAACTGCAACTAATGTATAACCTGATATCAAACAACATTTATTCTGATGGATGTTATTGATAAACGGTCATATAACAATTATTATCTCAAGATATTGATTATAATATTATGAACTAGAATCATTTCAGTTATGCTTGAGTTAAATAGGTACCCACTGAACGAGAATTATCATTTTTCTACGGTTATAACACAATATTGCTCTTCTTTAACTGTGTTCGATTGATCAATGAGGTACTTGGTAATCATATACAGGGTGAGTCATGAGGAACTGTACATGCTTCTACTAAGAATAGAGGCACCTGAGGAAAAAACCAAATGACCATCAGAAAGTGTCTCCGCCTCTTCTAAAATAATCTATAGGGTGATTTATTGGATATGGCCAAAACTTCTTTCAATCATAACTTTCCAACAGTTCTTTCGATTCCTTCTATTTTTCCATGGATAATAATGCTGTCGCTCAGCAATCAACTGACGAATTCAGAATCGTAAAAATCCAGGTTTTAGTGAACTGTGATATCGAATTTTCAAAGTTTATGAACAGGCAACCAAAATGAAGTATTTCAAAGTTTCCTCACACTTTCATCGAATTTATTAGAAAACGATTAATTTCGACTACACGCAAAACTTTGGCGACAAATGTATTCATTTGAAAATTAATACTTCGCAACGCATGAATTTCACGAATAAAAGTAGGGATAATATTATTCACAATTCTCCAGCTCAACAATAATCAACATTATTTTATCTCCAGGGTTGGATCTAGTAATTTTTCAGTAGAGAGTATTGATCACCAAAAATTTCACCCTGTATATGGTTTTGGTAACCTGTGACCTGTCTTGGTTAGTGGAATTGATGTTATTCTTGCTTCTATTCGTGAAATTCTAGCGTTGCGAAGTATTAATTTTCAAATTAATAGATTTGTTGCCAAAGTTTCGCGCGTGTAGTGAAAATTGATCGTACTCTAAAAAATTCGATAAAACTCTGAGGAAAATTCAAAATACTTCATTCGGGTTGCCGGTTCATCAACTTTGAAAATTCCATATCACAGTTTACTTAAACCTTATACAGGGTGAAATTTTCGATATGAACCAAATTGGCAGAATTTCTCAATACCGGTCCTGGATTTTTACGATTCTGAATACGTCAGTTGATTGCTGAGTGACAGCATAACAATTCATGAAGAAATGAAAGGAATCGAAAGAACTGTTGGAAAGTTATGATTGAAAGAAGGTTTGGCCATAATCCATAAATCACCCTATAGATTATTTTAGAAAAGGCGGAGACACTTTCTGATGGTCATTTGGTATTTCCCTCAGGTGCCTCTATTCGTAGTAGGAGCATGTACAGTTCCTCATGACTCACCCTGTATATCTTATATCCCAATAACTTCATTGTGTTATTATTTCAAAAAATTTCATATTTCATGAAATGCCAAATGTCAAGCAACAAACAGCTCTGTCATCTAATAGCTGAGCAATACTTTAAGGAAAATCAGATGACTACAAGCCGAAGAAATGAAAAATGTCGTTGTTATCTATTACAGACGTAGAAAGAGTATAGTGTCTAACTCGAACGGAATGCTAATTTACCACTCGTAACACAAAATTGCTCTTCTTCTATACTGTTTTCGATAAATGAATGAGGTACATTGTATGTTTCCCATTTATTCATTCTCTTATCTAATGACACAACGACTTCATTGTGTTATTATTCTACAATAAATGTCATCTCTCAAGGAATGACAAATTTCAAGCAATGACAGATCTGTCCAATAAATCATTACTCAGGAGGAAATCAGATGGTCGAAGAGATACAAATTTTTGCTGTTATCTGTTACAGCCGTTGAAAAAGTATAGTGAATAACTCGCACGGAATGTTAATTTTCCACTTGTATGATTTGCAAACTTCATTTTCGTGAAAAATGGCTATCATTCCGTGCTCGTTGAACAATATACTATTGGTTTATCTTATTCCGTGTTCGTGTATTATTTCCTAGGGATATTTAGATTTCTGTATGCATCTCGCCTCTCGTCTTTTTTCATATTCATGACACATCAAGAAGATTGATGTTATATTTTGAATGAATAATGAAATAAATAGCAAGTCCTATCCTTGGCACTAATATATTCCCTTTTGAATTAATCCTTTACATGTATGAAGGAATCATATCTGAATAATGATCAGTTGATCATACGTGCCAATAGTAAAATCCGGAGTTTTTTATGTGCACGTGTACTGAAGAAAATCGAGTTTTTGAAGTTTTTACTGAAATTGATAATTTACCGATTTCCCATTAAAAGATAATGCTAATTAGTGTAGTATATGAATTTTACCTTGTGAAACATTTTATGGTCATTTTGTCCATATTATTTTAATATGTGATTCGTAGTAACTTCCTCATAAATGAGACATCATTTTATTTAAACGCATCTATGTCCTCTATTATCAGGAAAAATATGCATTAACTATCAGCAGACAGTATAATTCAATGTATCATGCTTGTAATGGTATATACCGGGTGATCATGATACCGAAAAGGTTTCCTGAGGGCGGTATGGAAGGCTTTGAAGGTAAAGCTCCTTGAATGCAACTTTATTCAATTTTCTCTGTTATTATTGATCCTAAAATGACGAAATTTTTTACCAATCCTACAAATCGTTTCGCTGTACGGAAAACATGATTTAATATACAGGGAGGTGCGAAAATCGTAACCCATGCTAAAAAAATGACCCTTGTTTTTTTTTCCAATATTCACCTTGTTTCTACTACTTTCCACGATATGATTCTTCAAACACTTTCACATGAAATAGGTATTCTTGTTAGGATGCCGTAAAACGAACCGTTTTCGAGAAAAAGATCATTTTCCATTTTAATGTCCAAAAAAAGTCACCTTGTAGATAAGTTTGTGAAATTTAGCCAATTTCGATGTTGAGATAACGAAATTTCGTATATGTATATTTCATTTCATGCCCGATTTTGAAATGTTGAGGTGTAGTATCTCTATGGGCATTTATATTTTTGGTACCTACCTTTCAATCCACATTCTGTAACATTGAATAAATTTTCACCAAGTTATACGAAAATAAATAGAAGTTTGAAAAACTGAAGAAACATTTTTATAGATGACCAAACTAAAACGAAGAGTGATTGTTGTGTATTTATCAACATATTTTTATTATTTTATTCTCTACTTCCTTTTAGTTTCGCCGAGAGTTTCGCTATCTACAAAAGCGTGTTTCTCCAGTTTTTGAAACTACCATTTATTTCAACTTCTTTTTAGTTCACTTGAATTTCCTAATTTCGACGAAAGAATCATAATATCCGACTTTTGAAACCACAGATGGATATTTTGAATAGAATCGAAGCATATTTACAAAATTCGCCCGCAATATTGGATCTACCATCTTGAATTCCCTAATTTTGACGAAGGAATCATAGTTTTTCATCCCGAAAACGCCCACTCACAAATTTTGAATAGTATACCTATAATTACAAAACTCGTCTGGTATATTGGTTCCACCGTGTTGAATCTCCAAATCGCGCCCTTTCCAAATTTTGACGAAAGAATCATAATCTCCGACGCCGAAAACACCCAGATAACAATTTTGAAGAGAGGCGGATCATAATTACAATACTTGTCAGCCATATTGGGTCCGCCATCTTGGATTTCCTAATTTTGACGAAAGAATTATAATCTCCGACCCCAAGAACCACCAGATACTCACCAAATTTGAATTAAATCGGATCCTTATTACGAAATCCGCCATTTTGGATCTGCCATCTTGAATTCCTAAATTATGACGAAGGAATCATAATCTCCGATCACGAAAACCCCTAGTTACCAAATTTGAAAAAAAATCGGATAATAATTACAAAACTCGTCCGCCATATTGGTTCCGCCATCTTGAAGTCCTGAATTCCGTCCGAATTTTCGAATTCTGACCAAAGAATCATAATCTCTGACTCGGAAATCCCTCAGATACTGATTTTGAATAGAATCGGACCATAATTACAAAACTCGTCCGATAAATTAGATCCGCCATCTTGAATTTCCTGATGGTACCGGGATAAAAAGTATCCTTCAACCTTCTCCTGGTTCTAAGCTACGTCTTGACTAATTTTCAGCCGAATCAATCTAGTAGTTTTGGAGCATATTCAATACATACAAACAAACAAACAAACAAAGAAACAAACAATCAAATCTCTCCTCTTTATAATATTGGTATAGATAAAAAATAGTATACAGTGTGTCCAAGATGAAGATGTCTATCATGGGGTAAAGTTAATGATGGTTTTGGAGTCTCCGAAACGGAACGTCGTACCTACAGAAAATATCTTCAGCGCTGTTTTGTGGAGGTTAAAAAATGAGAAAGCGTCTTTTGTTTTCCTATAGCAATTTGCGCCAAAAACAAAACGATCCCCATGATAGAAGTCCTTATCTTGGACACAGTGTATATAGAAACTCACCACTCCTTTTGGTTTGATGAATGTTACACTCTCACCCTCACGAAAAACAAATTGGAAAACCAAAACAAAGCACACATATTTCCACATACCGGCAATACTCATGGGTTCCTCAGCTACTCAACTTGTGTTGTCCTAAATACTAATGAAACTGAAGACCAGATCCGCATCTACAAGTCTAAGATCAAGGATATTATTATTATTCAGAGTGGGACTCAAAAAATAAACAAACCAACGAATAATGAGGAAATGAGTTAGTTTATGCTGATTGGGAAGTTCTACATTTATTTCAAGATGATCCTCATACGATTGTCATGATGTGGAATTTGTGGAAAACGTTTTCGAGAGAAGGTCAAAGTCAGAGGACGAAAATCTTCACCTTGCGAAAACATTATACCTATATGCATACTTAAATGGGTATTTGGAATGTGCGCGGAAATTTATACAGGGTGTTTCATTGGGAAAGGTAAATAATTCAACTGTGGATAGGGGTCACTGGGGTGATTTGAAAAAATTGGTATCAGACGAGATTTATTAATTTCATTACTTCCTATTCAGTATACGTGAGAATAACATTTAGAAGGATTATTTCATATAGTTCTTTGTTCCAGACTTAGTTGCAGGTCCGTCATCAAAACTATACAGGGCTTTTCACGATGAGCGTTAATTTGACGTTTCCGGCAAACCAGGCAACGGATAAATCTGAAATTCCGATGGTATTTATTAATTAACATAATCTACACTACTGGAATATTTGAAACGATCCGGCCTTGCCGCTTCTACTAGAAAGTAGCAGCAACTTCGATTTTTCAAATGGGACACCCTGTATTTCATTACATTTTTGGATTCTTGCTGAACAGCAGAATTCATCGATTCAAAACATTCAAGGTCTAGCGGCACTGATAAGTGAGATATAGGATGTGGAAAATCGAGATGTTTCAACTTTAGAAATGTTTTGTGTTGAAACTATTTATTATTGCATGGTCAAAAAGGCTTCAATGTCCGTCCCTATCTCAACTTTCCATTCGATATTCAATTGAAAAAGATACAAGGTTGTGCATAAATCTGAATTATGAACCATCCTGTATTTCTTTCGATTAAATGTCAATAGATACAAAGTTAAGATAGGGACATAAAAGCCGTTTTGATCAATAATAAATATTTTCGCAAGATAATTCTAAAGTTGAAACATCTCGATTTTTCTCACTCTAAATATCTCAGTTATTAGTCCCACTATTTTCATTTTCAAATATTTCAGACGTGTAGATCATGTTAATTTATACATACCTTCGAATTTTTAGATTTATTCGTTGCGTGGTTTGCCAGAAACATCTAATTAACGCTTATCGTGAAAAGCCCTGTATAGTTTTGATGACGGACCTGCAACTGAAATGAAATATTCCTTCTGAATGTAATACTCACGTATACTGAATAGGAAGTAATAAAATTAATAAATCTCGTCTGATTCCAATTTTGTACCCCAAAATGAGCACAAAAATGAACAAAAAATAATTTTGAGCACATAATATGAATAGTTAAAATCGCCTGTGCACGAATAAAAAGCACATCGTTGAATAGAAATTTTGATGTTCTTTTCAGATATGGCAAAAAAATGAGAAATTCGAATGTATAGGGTGTTGTTTTCTGGCAGACAGAATTTGTGAATTTTAAGTGAAGTCGGACCTGGATTTCATCTTTTGTTGTCGCGTCAATCAATTCCACAGGGTAGATTGAGCAAGTGTACCAATTTTTAAAAATATATACAGGTTGGTTGGAAAGTTATGAGACAATGAAGATATGGACAAAATTGATGAAACATCCTGTATCTCGGTTATAAGAAGTCGAAGACCCATCAACTATGGGTGTTTTGAAATCACCTCAGTGACCCCTATCCACAGTTGAATCATTCACCTTTCCCAATGAAACACCCTGTATATCGTTAAAACAATTATTGTTCGAATAGTTCCACTGATCAGAGATCCATATTATTTCAATAATAATTGAATTGACAACATTGAGTAGCACCTTGAATTTTCGTTCATTTAAATGTAGTTTTTCAATATTTTATACATCCCATGCAGCTTTGTTTTCACTTGTTCATTCATCAAATTCACAAATTTCAATTACATTTGGGAAAGGATCGAGATAATATCCACTATCTAAGCATATGATAACAATCAAATAAAAAAGAATGAACATTTTCTCATTTACTCACCTATACAGGGTGACATCTTTGGAAACTTCCCACCCTCAATATCTTCCTTCTAGTTGATAATTATAAAGGATCTAGAAGGTCAATTTTATTATCTAGGGGGACAATAAAAATTAATATTTTTTAGGCCTATTGGTTCAGCCCCCTAGAAAGGGGTTGATATGTTACCCTTAGAATCTCAAATGGAAAGGGGAAGATGCACTACATTCCAAAGGAGTTCCTTTTTTTCAGTTGAGCAGTTTCCGAAAAATGCCGTGTCAATTCAAAACCTCCCACCCCTAATAAATATCTTCCTTATAGTAATTAAATGAAATATCGAAAAGATAGGTCAATTTCAATGTCGAGGGAGACACTTCAAATGTATATTCTTATCCCTCTAGGTTCAACCCCCTAGGAGGGCTAGATGTTACTCTTTGAACCTTATATGAAAAGGGCGTCAAGATTTTTTTTTTTATCGCTTGAAGCGCACGAAAGGGAATCCCTATAATGTTCAAAGAACATCGTGCGTTCCTAGGGAGGATAGGGATAGGAGGTAGGTATTGGATTTTTTTTTGAACTTCTGGGGATTATATGTTGTTGGGAATACTTCCACAGGCAATGAATTCTAGAGCCTAGCCGTTCTATGGATGAAGGAGTTTTGATAAAGTGCTGTTCGACATCTTTCGAGGTTGACAACGAAAGGATGTGCTGACTGGGCTTGTCTAGTTCGTCTGACTGGTATTGCTAGTGAAGTGATGATAGCAGAGATTTCCGAAGAACATTTCCCGTGGAAGTATCGATAGAAAAGTGAAAGGTCGCCGACCTTTCTACGGTGTTCCAATGATGTCAAAGAGTGAGTGAGTGTGGCGTCACATACCAGGCGGATGGCTCTTCTCTGGATGGAATCTAAGAGCATCAGCGTATGTTTTGGTGCTACACCCCATATGTGGGAACGGTATTCTAGAACAGGCCGTATCTGCGTGTAATAAGATGAAAATTATTAAGATCTAACTTTATTAACTGCCTGACGTTCAACACTAATGTCAACTGACAACTAACATCATCTCCATGAATACAGGGTATCCATTATTCAAGTATGAGATAATATTGTTACATCCCCCATTATACAAAATTGAGCAACTATCAATAATAAACATTTTAAAATTATTCAAAGAATCTTCTTGGTTTGCGAACCTCCCTTCTTGGCCTGACTTCAGTTTCTGAAGGTTCTTCATTTTCTTCGGTTGTAATGACTCCTCTTCCGGAAGACTCAGCGGAAGCGTTCTGATCTGGTGGAGTGCTTCGAGTAATGAAATCATATGACTGATCTTGCGAACACCTAACGATGGGATCAGGATTCACAGTAGGTGTATCATATTCATCTATAGCTGTACTTCTCCTAATATAAGATGTTTTGTGTTCCTTTCCAGAGTCTGTCCTTTGTTGGTCTCGATGACAAAAGATTTAGGTCTTCTTGCTTCTCGTATGATTTCTGCACCTATCCACTTCTTAGGCCCTTCTTGCATGACTACTTGATCTCCTACGTGCAAGTCATTTCTAGATTTACAATTTTTATCAAAGTAATGTTTTTGTTTTAGTCGCAATCGCGTGAGTTCTCCTTGAATGTCCTCATTCACTCTTGGTTCAAGTGCATTATCAACCGATGGTAACATATTTCTAGTTACCCTACTAAAGAGTCGTTGAGCCGGAGATCCAAGATCATCATTTCTTGGCGTATTTCTCTGATTGAGCAAAGCTTTGTGAATATCGGAATTATCTTCGTGGCATTTCTTGATCAGATTCTTCGCTATACCTACATAGCGTTCTGCCAGTCCGTTCGATTGCGGATAATGGGGTGAAGATGTTTGATGTGTGAAATTCCAATCACGAGCAAAATTTCTAAACTCCTGAGAGTTATATTGTGGCCCATTATCTGTTTGTAGAACTTGCGGTATTCCATGAACAGAAAACAACCTTTTCATCAAACGTATGACCTCAGCTGAGCTACTATACGTCAATTTTTCGAATTCGTAAAAGCCTGAATAGCTATCACAAACTATCAGGTAATCATTCAGCTGAGGTCATACGTTTGATGAAAAGGTTGTTTTCTTCCTGATTCATACTATTGAATATAAAAGTCTCATATGCAGTATTCGTTCGTGGAATGAAATGTTGACTGAATGAGTCTTTCAATGTTTCTCCAGTGGCCAGTTATTATATATCTCGAACCAGTTTGACCCAATCACCATCATGAACGTGGATATTTGCTGGTCATTGCTTTTCAATCCGAGATTTACTGCTTGTTCAAACCATTCGAAGTGTTGTAACCATATTTTCCATGTCTTTGATGGATCGCCTTCGATGTTTAACGGTTTTGGCGGCTGCACACATGAGGATATCGCAGCTCCCGCAGAATTATTCATATGGGTTCCAGCATGTGTGGAAGCTGCCAATGATGATTTTAGCTGATTTATTTGCTCTACCAGCATCTTTATAGTTTCTTTGGTTTCCTCGTCGGCCATTTCTCAGTTTTCTTCTGACACCATGTAATAAGATGAAAATTATTAAGATCTAACTTTATTAACTGCCTGACGTTCAACACTAATGTCAACTGACAACTAACATCATCTCCATGAATACAGGGTATCCATTATTCGAGTATGAGATAATACTGTTACACTGCGCTTTGTATATCATGAGGAGCTGTTGAGATGTAAAGTAGCTTTTCGCACGGAACAAGAATCCGAGTTTTTGTGAAGCAGCTTTTGCGATCAATCTCACATGATTATCCCATGAAAGAGTACATTATTGATGCACATTATTTCAAAGGGCCATAATGAGCCCGCGGGCGCTAACGTGCAACTTAACGCCCGCAAAACCGGGCGGTAAAGTGAACTTTACAGTCCGCTAGTGCATATACATAATTTCAATGTTTCGGAAGTTTTCAACTGTCAGATATTTGTTGATAGTGAATTACATTTCTAGTGTGTGAGTTTATAGTCAACACTTTTTCGATTGAGATGGCCTGTCTTTTTCCACAGCATCATTTTATCAAGGCATATTATTTCGGTCCAAACAAACCGCTCTTAGCCTGTGTCCCAATAGTTATGACTCACCCTGTAGACAGCAAATAATTGTTAATCAATATAATTATGACTCTAGGGGAAAGCTATCGCAAATATTGTGCCAATACCTATCTATATCTGCTTTAAAAAATTCGGTTAATTCTTAGGAATAGTCCAATCATTGTACTTGAACTACATCAGTATATATATAGGTATTAGAGTTATTATTTCGTTTCCAGCCAAGTTGCGGGAGATACATCGAAATATCCTTATCTCAGCCTTATACGAAATCTCTTAAAACATGGCGAAATGTTTGAGAACATGTTGGTTTGCAGAAGATTTATCTAGATCAAGGAACAATGAAGTTCATTTTGAGTTGGTTTCTTTATATTCTGGTACCTATTATTCCAAGTTAGTATTACCAAGTATCACCGAACATGGAGAATGAAGTTGTTGAGGAAAAAGTGAGTCAGCAATACGAAGCTGTTGTATATAGAAATACAGATGTTGAAAACTATCAGTTCAAACAGTTGACGGTGGGAGATGAATCGAAAAGCAATAGTACTTTTATGTATTTCTCGGCAATAACAGGTAATTGATATTTCCATCGAAATAATAATAGAATATTAGGGTAAGGGTGGCTCAAAATATACCCGTTGTGGATCATAGGCCCTCATTCTCCTATTTCTACTCAAAACATAATTATAACCAATACATATGAATTAATTTTATTTGATTATTTGAAATTTTCTCTCATCGTTACTATGAAATGAGAATATGAGTATTATTTCAATATATGTGTAATAGGACAAAACAAATGATTCGTCCCAAAATGTCACAGCTTTCAACAAATTTTTCTATCGAGGGGCCTAAAAAAAAAATCCAATAGCTTGTCAGTGACACTTTGTTTGGAAAAATGTTTGAAGAGGAGAAAAAATATAGATATTTTGGAAAAATATAAAATTTTTACAGTAATATTTTTGCATTTTTATGTTGAGAACGGGAGCATATTTGTTCCCGAAACCTCCAAAGATGAGTAAAAATTCGATATTTTTTCAATATATCTATATTTCTTCTCTGTGTCACTGACAACCTATTGGATCATTGTTTCAGGCTTCCTGATAGGCAAATTTATTAAATGCAATGACATTTTGGGGCAAATCATCTGTATTGTCCTACTACACATTATATTGAGATGATACACATATTATTTCATAGAAACGAGGAAAGAAAATCCTAAATAATCAAGTAAAATAAATGTACCACCCCCTTGATCAACATACAGACAGTATTAATTACATTAAAACTGATTAGAGCTTCATCAATTCGGAAAACCCAAATTGAATTGTAATTTGTGACTATAGCGTGACTTGAATAGAACATAAATAGATAATCCGATTCACCTTTCTTCAGCAATACTTTTTCTCTTATTTCCAGCCAACTTACTGATCTTCTCCTGCACCTCCGGCTTGGGCTGGACCAGTCCCGTCATCCCCACCTTAAGCAGCCACAACCCCAAAGTCAACCCCCTGGGCAGACCCGTGACACCCCTGGAAATATCCTGGATCGCCTCCCTTCTAGTGCTGGGAGCCGCTTTCGGACCACTGGTCATTGCCAAACTGGGCGACCTCCTCGGCAGAAAGAAGGCTCTGATTTGCATCTCAATTCCCCACATTTTGTCGATCATCACCCTGGCCTATGCTAGTGATGTAAGGGTTTTTTACGTCACTAGATTCGTATCGGGGTTTGTTATGGGAAGCGCCTTTGGTCTAGTTCCGGTTTATCTAGCTGAGATTGCGGAAATGCGCAACAGGGGTACAGTGGGAGCGCTTATGAGCATCTTCATCACCATCGGGATTTTGTACTCTTTCGTTATAGGGCCTTTAGTGTCCGTCAAAACTCTCACTTTGTGTTGTGTGGCACCTGGTATTGTTTTCCTGGTTGTGTTCAGCTTGGTCATTCCTGAATCCCCAGTTTATTTGGCTTCTAAAGGAGACACCCAGGGAGCTTCGCATGTACTGATGAAGCTGAGAGGACGTACTGCGGATCAAGTCCAGCATGAGTTGAGGCTTATCTTGAAGGCATTGGAGGAGGAAAAACAGGAGATGAGTAGTGGTGGGGTGACAGAACTTTTCACAGACGCTGGCTTGAGGAAATCTTTAGTTATCTGCCTGGGGCTTTTCATGTTTCAGCAGTTCTCGGGTCTGAACGTTTTGACAGCATTTCTGGAACAGATATTTGCTGCATCTGGAAGTAGCATGTCAAAATATGTCTCGACTAACGTCGTGATGCTGACTCAGTTCTTCAGCTCGATTTTAGCTACTGCTATAGTGGAAAGATTTCCTAAAAGGTCCTTGCTGATGCTATCAACGACAGGCACTTTCTTATCATTGTGGTTTCTTGCTTTATACTTCTATTTGAAAACCAACACAACTTACAACATTGACTTCCTCTTCTGGTTACCAATCGCATCGATGATATCATTTTTCATCATGCTAGGTGGTTTAGCTGCTTTGCCTTGGGGTTTAGTCAGCGAAATATTTCCAACGAAATTCAGAGCGACGGCTGGGTGTCTAGCTTCGTTCGCTTGTTTCTTTAGTTCGTTTTTGGTGACGCTTGGGTTTCCCCTGGTTCTGCAGATCTTCGGAATGTCTCACTGCTTCTGGTTTTTTTCTGGTTGTATGTTGATGTGTACCGTATTCGTGTACTGCTTGGTACCAGAAACTGCAGGTAAAACGTCTGCTGAGATTCAAGAGATATTGAGAAAATAAAGACTTTGAATATTTTGTTTTTGATTTATTGTCCTTTTATGGTTGAAGACAAGTTCCCAGCGAGCACAAAAACATCTCAAAGATGTTGAAAGTTCGAGATGTCGGAACACTGAATTATGATTGAATTTTTACAATCCTCACACCTTGTCCATTGTGCGCTATAGGAACCTTATCAATGAATGATATGAATAGGAATATGTCAATATGCACTTCATTATAGTAGCATAATAATACGATATTCTGTTTATTCTCAGAATATTCAAAGAATATGTTAAATTGAATTTTCATGGAAAATTTTTTGTTCAATTAACTCAAGATATTGAGGAATCTGAGATAGGAATATATTTTCTCGAATTCAGCTACTCGTACAGAAACTATCTGTCTTTTATTTTCTCCATGTACCTATCACATGATCTTCCCATTTGGAATAATAAAACTAAAATTGTTCTTCTTATACGATGATCCACAGGCCTATCAGTCTATTTTTTCATAATCATTTCACTTAGTAGGCTGTGTATCTACACAAAATGTTTTATGTGTTTGACAGATAATCGATTGCATCAATAATTTTTCTTCTTCATTTGTGTGTTGATTAAAATTGCATATTATCCATAGAGACGGAAAAAGAAACGTAAAAGTCGATATGTTACCAGATCTAGTAACCTAACCAAAGATATGTTACCAGATCTAGTAACCTAACCTAAGATATCTCACCAGATCTAGTAACCCAACCCAAGATATGTTACCAGTTCTAGTAACCCAACCTAAGATATGTTACCAGATCTAGTAACCCAACCTAGGATATGTTACCAGATCTAGTAACCCAACCTAAGATATGTTACCAGATCTAGTAACCCAACCTAAGATAAGTTACCAGATCTAGTAACCTAACCTAAGATATGTTACTAGATCTAGTAACCTAACCTAAGATATGTTACCAGATATAGTAACCTAACCTATGATATGTTACTAGATCTGGTAACCTAACCTAAGATATGTTACCAGATCTAGTAACCTAACCTGAGATATGTTACTAGATCTGGTAACCTAACCTAAGATATGTTACTAGATCTAGTAATCTAACCTAAGATATGTTACCAGATCTAGTCAACCAACCTAAATAAATGGTCTGAAGAAACGAAAAAGTCGATAATAATATGTTGTTAATATGCAATTTCAATCAATACACAAATGAAGAAGAAAAATTATTGATGCAATCGATTAACTGTCAAACACATTTGAGTACATGCAGGTTGTAGGGTAATAATAATAATAATAATAATTTATTCCACTACTTTATTTTTTAAGAAACTAACATAACCCCTTAGATTTTTGCACATACAGATTGCTTGTAATCTAGGTGCAATAACTTATTTGAGTAGTTCAAATTGTAAAATGTTATTCAATTATTTCATAAGCCTATTGTAATTCTTTTCGAATTAAAAATCTAAGAGGAAGGATTTCCGGGCCTATGTTCATATGAAATCTTGTCATGAAATCACGCAGATATTGATCGAAAATCGAGAACAAAATTGGCCCAATAACAGAACCTTGAAGGACTCAAAGATTTCTAACACATCAGTTTCATACATTCCGGAAAACTATAACCATAGTTCACAGACGTACGAGAGTTCTCATGGTGAAAATCCAGGCAATTCTAGTTCAATCTAGAGGATATCATTGAAATTTTTTGTAAAAATGTTTTTTTTTTTTGTAAAATTTGTATATCGCTACTTCAAAGTTGGGAACCAACTCCCCAGAAGTCGAAACTTGTGCGGGGTTAGGAAGAGCGGGACCTACAGCTTATAGTGGAATCTGAACCACTTCTAGGGCATCGAGGCTGAAATGAATACCAACTTTTGAGTTTTTCATCTTTTTATTACCAAAAAATCAGACTATAAACTTAAAAATGTATTACTGACTTATTTACATATTGAAAAAGGGCGGAATAGTGACTAGGGTGCTAAAGCTAGTAACAGTTAACAGTTTTGTCTAGTCTGTAGTGAAACTCTCAAGGAACAAGGTCACAAATGACAGTGCCTCGTTTATCTAAAATACGTCGTGTGTAGAGCATACAAAATAACCAAATGAAAAAACAGTCGAGGTATGATATTCATAAGTAGTGCGGTATACAGGATGCCTAGAAAATTTATACGCGATAGTACTTCAATAATATTGTATATTATTCAACAGGTATATTCACATTCAGTAGCGAGAGTCTTGCGAAATGTCGATTTCTTTATCTAGGCAGAAAAAATGGAATCCTCTTGCGTAGGCAGAGAAAACGAAATTGCATGAGCAGTAGACTGATGGAATATTTCGTATCAGTTCAGTATTGTGGTGAATCAAAACAACTCATCGATGGAATAATGTTTACAATATCAAAAATATTTGAAGAATTCAATATCTATAGGCTATGATGATGTTGAATATAAAAAAGTGAGAGTTGATTGGTGAAATATAGAAGTAAAAATTATAAATGAATAGTGGAAAATAAGGATCTAGTTCGTTTTAAACATCAATGAATTTTGGCTTCATTCTTGCTTTTTTGCTAGGCTGAATATTTCATCACAATATCACCCCTAAATTTAATTGATTTAATTGAATATCCTATTCATATATTATGGAGCAAAGAACAACAATATATTAATTGTTGAACGATGAGGTTTGAGTTGGTTTGAATTTCGATTTCTCACCAACCTCTTAGTGATTTCAGTAGAAAGCAAAAAAGATTTTCTGAGCGCATGGATTAATTTTCATTCTTTTGTTTATCTTCTCAGATTATAGGATTTCGGGAGCTATAGTATGATACTTTTTGTTATTCAAGGCCAGAATGTCTTGGGTCAGATAGAAATATCGGCTACCTGGCCACCCTATTCAATCAAACAAAAGGGAAATCTAATTTGCCAAATAAAACTCTGGCTGCCATTTGAAAGAAATCAGACCTCCGAATGAAGATAATCGAAAATACTTTCTACATAACATCCGGCTAAACGAAACTCACAAAACTTGGTATATTCCCAATTTAGAGAACCCACATTGCCTGAGGCAATTATCATCCTCTTCCGGGACCAAAAGTCCAAGTCCCTCTGGTGCGTAGATTCTATCAATTTCAGGAGTTCATTTAATTAAAGTTTAAACACGAACAATGTGAAAGTCTGAAATAATGAATTGAACATCTTTAAAAGTGCAAAAATGTAGGGTAAGAATGTTGGATTCGTAATATAACTTCTTTGAATTGACTCAGCCGTTACTTGATGAGAATAATTCATAGGTAATATTATCGTTTGTGAAGCTTTTTATATCGTAATATGATATTGGGAGACATTTTTTTTATGAAAGTACCTATTTCATCTTTTGGGTGTATAATAAATTGACATTCGTCATACAGGGCGTGGAAAGAAATTCTGATTTGAGACTCTATCATTTTTGTATGTCCATAATTTATCTGAGGATATTCCTTTTCAACTATTTATTTCATCCCTTGCAGCGCACAAACGGAACTTCCTATGATGTTATATGTATATTCACATGATATATCAACAAAATGTACGATAGTAGGTACATTACGACATCTTCAGGCAATGCCTTCTGTGATTTGAATATGTCTTTCAATTCTCCAAGTCGGTTCTTCGAGATCAATATTTCCTAATTGTTCCTTCATGATAATTTCTCGGAATGAAAATAAGTTATACTATTCCTCAACTCAGTCACTTACCATACATATGCTTGATATAATTTGTCACAATTCATCAAATTCAGACCTTGATTCCATAATGATATGTAAGTTTTGTTCACTATTTGTAATTTCAATTATACAACAGTCGATAATACTTCATGAATGATCTTATAGGTACCAGGAATTACTGTCTGATCATTCATGTCATTCCTAATAGAAAATTAATTATACTTTATATATTATTTATATGAAATGTATCAATGAAGAAGATAATGTAATGCAATAACTGAAATGAATTAAATGAATAAAATAATCACATCTATTGATTTCCAGGTTCACTATATCCACGAGGAAGTGAGAACGTGAGGTTTGGTAATGAAAGAATCATTTATATTGTTCTTTGCTCCATATAAAAATTTTCCTCATAGTAACAAGAAATATATTCACCTATCGACTTATGAATGAAAAATATGCGTATCGATGATATTGATAATTGATCTAAAAACTACCCTGTGATTTTAAAATAACTCAACATTGCCTAAATCGACATCAAAATCTAACAAATAATCTATATAAACAACACGATTTCAATACATTCAACATTTCTTTAAAGCTATTATATGATATGTATTTGTTACACGTAAGCCTTGACATTTTTTTGGTATAGAAAGCATGATCATTTGCTCTGTATATAGTGATTGAGTAGTGAGGAATTCTGCCTCACTGAAAAAGTTCAGACAATACATAATATGTCTAGATTGATACTCAAACAATTCAAGTTTCGCTGACTTTACTACTGCATTTTCCCAATGGTATCAAAGGACAAAATATAATTAAATATCGGACCAAGTATGTAAGTATCAATATTCAACTGAAATCATTTTATTCTGAATAATTTGTCAAGTAATCTCCACAGTTAGAATGCTTGATCATAATTTTTGATTTCACATTAACAGTAATGAAAATGGAGTGGACCATGGATCCATTGAGTTCTATCAACATTGTATGTTTCCTCTATAACATACCATCATTAATTATATTTTCGATATTAGTCAGTACAGCAGTGCTTTTGGAAATTGAGTATCACTTAAAATTTAGAGAGTAATACTCATTGTTATTTCATGGAGGCAGAAACCGTGATGTCAATAACTCACTTTTAGGAAGACGTTTCCTGACCTAAATTGGTTCTACATCAAAAGCAGTTACAAAATTATACTTACACCATTTCGACTACTAGTCCAACTCAGGTAATCAAATTATAAATAGTAGACCCTTATATGGACATTTCTACCTATAGATCTGAGCAATGCCTTAAAAAACGACAGTCTGTGACTAATTTAGTCTATTCTTAACAGTAACAATAATAGTCAACAATGATATGTACAAAGTGTATCTAGTCAACTATCAGTTGATCGAAAGAGATAACAAGTGAACTCGAAGGATATTGTGAACAATTTTGAAAAGTGCCTCTCACTTGACAATAACCATCCTAATGATAATGAAACAATTCTGTTTGAGAACAAGAAGCTTATCATAATGAGGCATGAAGATAAACTTGGTGAGGACACTTTCCTGATTGTCCAATCCCTTATGAACTAGAGACCTCACCGGGCCTAAGTGACCAGCAATGCATGAAAAGTTCGAAAGATTACTTAAAACACCAGTTTATGGGAAGTGGGTACGTGAAGCAGAATTTTCTCCACCATATCTTGATTAGATCAATAGTAAAAATCCATGATGCATGAACAAAGCTATCGGTCAATTGTTCGACAAGTCTGAGTGAATGATTTATCATTGACTAATTTATTTCATCATGTCATAATGTACTTTTCATGAGCTTTTTGTTTTATTTTTTTTTTCATATTCTGTTGTTTATTTCAATACAGTGCAGACTGGATAATCCGAACGTTCAATAATCCGAATTCTTCAGTAGTCCGAACAAGCATTTTTAACACATTGAGTACTCTATAATCCGAATTTCATAGTACTCGATAATCCGAACCTATACCTTTAGGCCTATTTATTTCCTATAGAAATTGTGAGTGAAATGTTCAGGGGTTCCCCTAATTGTTCTTTTGTTAGTATCTGGGATTCACATTACGCAAGGAAGAAAATAATATTCCGTTAAATTATATTCTTGTACTTCAAAGATTAAAAGAAATGGCCTTTATAAATAATAAGAGATGTGCTAAGCAAACAAAAATTACAAATTACTTTAGAAACTAGTATTATATTCTTACTTTTATGCATATTTTAGTGTTACTTTTTCGTATTTATGGTTTTTTTGCATTTCGTAATAAAAAATTAAAAAAAAAACTGCTTCGGTAATCCGGATTTTTTGGTAATCCGAATCGCCTTGGTTTTTATTAGTTCGGATTATCGAGTCTGCACTGTAACTATAATTTAATTTGATAACGCATGAATAATCTCATACCAGATATGAATCTGTCTGATTATTCATGTTATTCCATTGTAAATGTTAATGATTACATTTATATTTATATGAGATGTAATGTAATGTTTATAGCAAAGAATGAAATAAATAAATAATTCATTATTAACCCACCAACAACCAGAAATATTGATTTGACTAGTGTGCGTGGTTGCAGCCCAATACGACTAATCTGTCGATTGAGTGAGCAATTAGTAACTAGATATATGGTCTGCGTGCAAATTTGATAGCGGATTTTGACAAAATGATCAGCCAACTCACTTTTAGTGTCATCCTCTATCCGATTTAGAGTAGAATACTGATGGGCATTGGTAATCACGATTCCGTTCTCCCATTGCTATTCTACTGATTCTAGTGTTTGATGATAAATTTATCATTTTCATTTTCAATTGGCGAAAGTCAATGTATTTCCAGCTGTTGAATCTGGAATTGTTGTCTCGATCGTCTCAAAAAATATCTATAGGTATCCTATCATATACCAAAGGTTGCGATAGTGCCAAAAACCTATATCGGACAATAATTCTCAGCAGAGAGAACGAATAATCAACAGAGAACGTCATCCATCGAATTCACTTGTTTCTACAATGATCATATCTTTATAGCGTATCGGCATAATATCATGATATGTATATTATTTTGAATTAAAGAGTTCGGTTTCAGTCTCGTTGTCACGATGGCGACAGATCCAAGAATTTTGTTAGTAGAATCGTGAACGCTATCGATACTAGAGTAACGTCCATCCTATAAGAGTATTTTGGAGACGATGACGTCGGCTCCATCTGTATTATTTCCACTTCGGCCATCTTGAAAATGGACAGCAGTAAGTGTGACACGAAATCTGGATTTCTCGTGTTGATTCTCTCGCTTATCGTTTCTAGCAGCTCCACACATTCTTCCTGGAAACACATAATAATATGATAAAGGTTACATACTTTGATATTTATTTATGAACCCCTGGTTGTTCCTTTTTTTTTCATTGGTTCACTCAAATGATTGATGAACATTTGATCGCAAACTTGAAACCTCATTGCTCGAAGATTCATCTCCAATTTTATGTGTTTTTGAAATTTCTGGTTTTTATTCAATTCTTTCGGAACTAACCTTTTCTTTAGAGAGAACTTCGGGCGGTAACAATGTCGAATAGTCGATTTCTTCTGATAATTTTCCAGCCAGTATCACATTCTCCTTTGTAGCATTGAAGAATTCCAAAGTGCATTGAGTCTGAAACATAAAAATATCAGATAGACACACAATATTTGAAAGGTTTGGATATTCTTATATAGTTATTTTTTATTTTGATTGTGAGTTTCCTTTCTAATTGAAGTTTCCAGATTTTTCTGTGTGAATTAACTACAATTTCCAAAAATGTTGGCACCTCGTCGGAGAACATTTCATCTCATTTCATTTACCTTCTCTTTCTATATCTGGCAACTTCATATTGCTACCATATGCTCAATTGTTAGACATTTTTGTCATTTCGTTTCAACACACTTGATGATTCATTATGCATATCTTTTCAAACGAAGAACGTTCTCTTTATCTTTGGCAGATCATAAAATTTGTGGACATGATGATGATTCTCGCAACTTGACTGTTTGATGAGTGAGGCATAGTGATGGTATTTGTAAGTATGAATACTCATATTGATAAAAAAGTTGTTGGGAAAAGTGATTTTTGATAAATGGTCGTTTGTTTGAGATTTCATCATCATGGCGAGTTCATCACCCGTATTTAATCCAACTATATTTTGTATGTTCATGCTGTTAGATTTAAATTATCATTATTGGAAAGATACTGGAGATAATGCTATTTTCAGTATTTTTAGTTAACGTGAACTGTTTATGTGATGGTCGACCACTTATGGTCGACTACTTATCGGTTTATGATATACTATATTTGGGCTAGGATAGAAAATAACGCACTGAAAACTCGAAGGAATATCAAGTTGGGTGAAACGAAGCCGGTGTATAGGAACAGAGAAGCTGATTGGAGTAGTCATTAACGGGAAGCATATTTACGTTTCCTATACAGCCAGCGCGATTGGTCGCTCTCACGAGATAGGGAATGGAGTGCATCCTGGAGCACTCTGTTTCCTAGCTGATATGCGCGACCAACGATAAACGACCATCGGCTGCTCTGTGGTGCATGGGTCAGGATTATTATTTGCAGATTTTGTTTTCCACACTAATTTTCAGTCTGAAGAAGATACAATTTGACAATGAATCGGAAGTTTATTCATGCGGAATGTTCAACTATACGAAAAATATAAACAAAATATATCGTCGAACCATTAGAAATACTTTTCAGTTTCAGATTACTTTGTTTTTCTTACTGGTTATCAAGATCATGAAAGTAATCGAAAATGATTATTAGTGCGCACTACCATGACTTACAGCGTTCGTGGTATTTTGTAGGATGTTTAGTATTAATGAACGCTTTTTGGGAGGTCTCTTTTTCGAACTTATTCCGCTGCTAGATGGCCGACCCGCTTGTATAGCTTTGGCACCTCTGTAAGCAGATGTTCTTATAGCAATAGAGGTAGGTTGAACATTAATTCTGTGAGACTTTTTCTGACTAGTAAACGAGAAACATAGAGCATAGAACGAAGCTTCGCTATCCATTTTCTTCATCTGCCTATTGAACTTCGTCACAATAGGCAATAGTGCTGGATGAGATTCCACGAAGCTGCTAATCTTTTTCAAGTTGTCTTTGAATTCTTTGAGTTCGACTGATCCATCAGTTTTGGTTTCGTTCACTTCAACCGAAAAATTATTTTCTTCATCAGGAGTCGTCTCATTAAGGCCATCTTCCGTTTCCAACATCATGGGTTCGCCAAAATCTTCAGTAATTTCGTTATCTTTTTCTTTATCCATATCTTTGAAGAAGTTGGCACTACTGATATGTCTGTTCGTTTGGAAGGCGAAGTAATGGAATGTGCCAAACCAACCATGGGCGTACCATTGATTTCTGCTTTTGGGCTTGACCAACGATAAATCGGAAAACATTTGTAATTCAGAGCGATGAATTCAGCTCGCTCATATCATATCATTTTCAGTTGCATATTCGAAGTGTCAACTATGAAAGCAATTCATGGTTGTTTAGGTGTTGTTGAAACACCAGAGATGTCCTGCCTTGATTGTTAGAAAACAATCGTCCTAACTGTATAATCTTATGCGAAAAGATAACGTAACGTGAAGGTATTAGTGAATAATTTTAACATTATACAGAGAAGTGCACAATAAACGGCCAGTGTGCTGTATCTTCCTAATCATTCTAGATCAGATTTCGAAAATGTGGATATCAAGTATACCAAATTGCTCATTCATTAACAAAACTATTTTTATTCTATCACTTCCGATTTCAACGGAAATGACCCCAACTTTCGATATACAAATGGGACACCCTGTATTGTATCCCATAATCGGTAAGGGATTATTATGACGAAATCAACGATACCAGGTTCGATAGGGTTATTTCAGATGATCACGAAGATATTTGCGTTCGAAATTTCCATAGGTCAATTGGTGTGACTTCGTAATCGTTTGAAATAACCCCATCGAACGCGGTATCCTCGAATCCGTTATGATAAGCCCTAACAATTCATGGAATAAAATGCAGGGTGTCCCATCTAGAAATCAAAAGTTGCGGTCGTTTCTAGTGGAACAGAAAATAATGGACCATGCAGATATTGTTTTGTCAGTGGATGAGCAATTTGGTATACTTGCTGCCCACCAATTCTAGAAATCCGATCTAGAATCAATCAGAAGATACAGCAGTGGCCGTTTTTTGTGCACTTCTCTGTATATTCCAATATGACAGGCGTGAGTAACACAACGGTATAGAAAATATTGAGAGGAAATAAAACTAATAGAAATATTCAGGCTCCGTAAAAGCATAATTATTGAAATGAGGGAAATAAAGCCTGATGAATTTGATACAAATGGTTTTCGTCGTTTTGAAAAACAAGAACCTATATGTGATTATTGTGAATATAATGAAAGTCCTCATGAAATACTATCAATACAGGGAACTATCGATATAAAATGAATAGGTATGTGACGAAAAGTCGACTAGAGTGTACAACATCATTATATGATTATACCTTCCAATGCAGTCAAAATAATGGAAAAACAAAATCAGACTTCAAAGGAAAAGAAACAGTTTTTTTGGGGCCTTATTTAATTTACTAACTATTTGGTACATAATGGCCCTTTCTCAATAAGATGATAATTTTGGTGTGTGGGTGACCGACTTTTTTCATTTTTTTTGCTTATTTCAGTCTTTGGTATAAGTCTCTGGTTTATCAAAGTGGAGTGAAATCAAAACTATACTAAATAATCACCTCCTATGTGAGTAGCAGATCAATCAACAGGGCTACATGTTTCGGAAATATATATGACTATCATCAGCCATACATCTAATGATTATAGTCCTATAATTACTTGGAAGTAAAGTGAATGAGTACATGAAACACATGGTTTAATGATAATATACCCACATGAGAATGATAACAAGTTGCTATAGATATTACCTAATGAAATTGAAAATGATGATAGTTTTCATTTTATCCCCAAGCCTCAACAATATCAAGGCGAAAACCAGCTTTGAGAACTGTCAGGCACACATCAGCGATAACTCGAAATATTATAAAAACGTGTCCATCTTGCTTAACACAAGGCAGGTCGGAAAGCGTACTAACATGTGTCACGAATCACAAGTCAATGAAAAAGGCATTAAAAATACCAATCTTCACAACTAACGTTGATCCCATGCTATGTTATCTTCCCTACGCCCATGAAAACTCGGAGTGCCTATTATTTCCTTTGACTTAATTAGGCCGGCGAAGCGGCGCGTTTGTCGGCGAAAGGCCTGCCCCAGCCGCGCGTTTGTCGGAAATTCGGAGCTCCTCGTAGTCCGTACTTTGTTGTATTAAAGCGGCAAAATCGAATCTACCCAGAAAAAGGTTATACGTATAATTCATGAAACATCAACGCCGCTCTAGTGGTTATTCTGGAAGATTTCTCTTTGAAAATTTGCGACAACATTCCATTGCCACATTCCATTACTTCGCCTTTCAAACGAACAGACTATAGTATTTCCAAGTGCTAACGTAGCAAGTTCTATTTTGTCTTGTAAAAAAATATTAGGAACGTTGTGCATCTGCACACCAGTATTATATACAGCGCACAGATGCTTGCAAAATTTCCCTCCTGCCCCTTCTGGACAGTCACACACTTCCAACTTTGTATTGACTTGGTACAAAAGTGTCTCATCTGCAGCTGAAGTAACTGTAAACTGATCTTCAGACACTTTCACAACACGAAGATCAACCGATTTTTTGAAAATTTCGTAAAATAAATTGACAATTTGTTATCCCTGGAGCTAGCATAACGCAACAATTTTTCTTTGTAGAAGTCCTCCAGTGATAAAGAGATGAATTCTACTAAGGATACTGTGTTGAAAGCCTTACATCTTTGTAGTACCAAATCCTTAAATACTCTTATTGATACTTCTACTAAATTGTTCGTATTATGGCCCCTATTGCACAGTTTATTTCGAAAACAATGACACCAATCCTGTCTTCTCTGCCACATTTTGTCGAAATATCGTCTAACCTCTCGTCATCATTTCGAATGAATCGCGTTCGAACAGTTACTTCTGAATGTTTTGTTTTTTCAGGCATGACTTTATAACTAATAGAAAATGTATTAAATGCATTTTCTATCTGTTCGAGATTCATTTCGCTAAGGAATAAATATTCAATAGGTAATAAAGAGAGCACAGTTATTCGGCAACTAATTGCTCTTGGCATTCTAATGATGACAATAAACAATAACACGCGGGAACGCCGATGGTCGTTGGTCGCGCATATCAGCTAGGAAACGGAGTGCTCCAGGATGCACTCCATTCCCTATCCCGTGAGAGCGACCAATCGCGCTGGCTGTATAGGAAACGTAAATATGCTAACGGGAAGGCAGGATACGATAACCGGCCTCGGATTGCTGGTTTCTATCCAGAGTAGCTTGCATGGTTGTAGTGATTGGTTGGTATCTTGTGTATTAGTTGTTATGCGATTCAACGAGTGGCGGCTTGATGGCTTGATTACAGTATAATTTGGATACGTCTCTATCTATGAGGACCTGATATAATATAATAATATTGATAATATTACTTGAAACAATGAACCTATCGGTTCTCAATAATTTCGAGAGAGTCTTGGTTGTGGCAGGTACTACTCACCCCATTGACAGCTTCTTCTTCGATGAGATTTTGCAGCACCCTTACGATATCCTGGACAACGATCACCGTGTGGTTCTTGTTGAGCTCCTTCTCATCTACCTCACTGTACCCCAAGAAGAGAAACACTCCTTGGGGTAGCGCGTAGTCGCTTGGCATGGGCTTCATACAAATGAACCTACAAAGATTCGCATTGCTCTTTGAACATAGGCTTATAAAACTATTATTAGAAATCAAAGATAGATTTTAGATGCTCATACGCATCAGGAAGAAAGTGACACTGTCTCTTGCACGTAGATGGACTATAATTTGATAAGCTATATTTGAAGTAGTGAAAAAACGTTTATTTAATTTTCAAGAAATTGAACATGAAGTGATACAGAAGAGTGACCACTCCAACTGATTGTTTTCAAATATCAAACTATTCAGTTCTCAGATTGGATAAGGAAAACTCGACCCAAAAATTGATAAGACGATTTCTTGAATTAATAATTCCGTGAATGGATTCTAGCTGAATGATGACTTTAGAATCTTCTTTATATTTGCGATGTCACTGTAGCTTTCCAAGATTCAATTAGGGATAGCGTAATACAATTTTGATCACCTGTAGTTTCTTGAATTGATTTCATTCATTTTCACATTGCAGGGAATAATTGAGATGTCAGATTCATGAAATCTCATTGGGGCAGAGCAAAATGCGAAATATAATTACCTATGTAATAGATTTGATGCAAGCATTGAAATAGGATCAATTGCTCACAAAACGTATAACTAAACTAAACTAAAACCTTTCATCTGTTTCCTTATTCAGACTGAAAATATTGTAGTATTTATAGTACTCCTGCTACTTCATTCCAGTTTGAGACATGATGAACATCTATCTTTTATTAAAATTATACAGTTAGAATCACACCAGAGCGATTGGCAAATAGCAATGATCAACTAGCAACCAGCAACATGCGACATATCAATAGTTGTGAAGAAGGATCCGAACGAAACGATATCTAGCAAATATAGAAACATGGGAATCACTGATTGAATACAATGACAATTAAAGGATCTGATCATTCCTAATTCACTAGATACCATCATATTCCTTTGATGAATGGAATTGTGAGGGATTGTATAGTGAAATTATAATAATCGTTTCTCCTTTATTTAAAGATATCGATACCGCTTCCATATCCATGCTCGCATTGAACATTGTGTACTTCTCAAAAGGGATGTATCGTATGTTATAGACCATCATATAGGGTATCATTATACAGGGTGTTTCAAAAAAACCTGACCCCCTTGCTAGGGTAGGTAGAACACTGCAAAATAAGTTGGGTTTGCTCAGTGAAAAAATGTCGTAACGGCATCCGTTTCCATGATACAAGGTGTTGAAAAAATGATTTTTTTTCACATTTTTCACGATTCTGTCGAAACTACTGGCAACATTGTAATGACATTTTGTATGGATGTTTCTTGGAATCTGACACATCGCATGAGTTTGTTTCTATATCTGACCCTCATAGAGGGCGCTAGTTACACGGTTCGTACCGAGTAGTTTAGAACATAACTTTTTTTAGGTTAGATTTTTCAATCCAAGTATGATATGAGCTTGATAACTTCATTCAATTTTACACCAAAAAGGTACTCCTGGTGAAACTCGATACTATGTTCCGTTTTCGGAATATTTCGATTTAAAAATAATGGAGTAGTAATGATGCTGGTATAAAATGAATTTTATTGAGTTCAATTACCTATTTATTCAGATTCGAAAACAATAAAATTATTCTTCTCCTGAAGTTATTGATGGAACAAAGAATCATAAGTAGAAAATTAAGAGATATTTGACTAGGAACATAAAATATTGAATCAGTTAGAGTAAGTGTTCAAAATGTCCTATACTTTTCGAAGAAATCACGATTCTATATTCTTTTCTTGAGAATGTATTTTTCTTCTTAACAGTTGAGGATCAGCTGTTAGGTCATTTAAGTGATGTTCAATTATGGCTTACAACTCTTGACGTGAATTTACCTATGTAGCATAGACTTTCTGCTCAAGATACAACAAAACTGTGTAATCCATGTTCTTAGTCAAATCTGTTTCGATGTTATTCTTGTGATTCAGTGTTTAATCATTGAGTTTAGCATCAGAAATGTATTGTTGTTTTCGATTTTCAATAAATAGGTGATAATTTTTCATAATACTCACTCTAATACATATAGCTTTATACCAGCAACAGTCATCACTTCATCATTTTCAAATAGAAATATTCCGAAAACGGAACACAGTATCGAATTTTACCAAGAGTACCTTTTTGGTGTGAAATTGAATGATGTTCAAGTTCACATCAAATTTGGATTGAAAAATCTAACCTCAAAAAAGTTATGTTCAAAACTACTCGATACGAACCGTGTAACTAGCGCCCTCTATGAGAGTCAGGTATAAAAACAAATGCATGCGATGTGTCAGATTCCAAGAAACATCCATACAAAATTTCATCACAAAGTTGCCAGTAGTTTCGACATAATCTTGAGAAATGTGTAAAAAAATCATTGTTTCGACACCTTGTATCTTGATAACGGATGCCGTTACGAAATTTTTTTACTGAGTAAACCCAACTTATTTTGCAGTGTTCTACCTACCTTAGTAAGGGGGTCAGGTTTTTTTGAAACACCCTGTATATATGTTTTGATGCTAACAGATTATATATGAAAGAATCCTCCCGGATTCTTCATGCATTTAGGTATGTTTGCAAGGTTTAGGTGTACGGTACATATATTTTTTTACCGGAGCACGTGTATAGCACACACATGTATACTTTTTGAAGGCAGGCTGTTGGAAAAATGTTTTTTTTTAAATGCTGAAAAGTAGAAACACATCAGAAGTAAAAGGAAAGAATAAAAAAAGCTTTATTTGAACGCTCTTAAAAGAAGAAGATTGGATTTTCCTTCTAAATTTCAACTATCAACTCATAACCCCATGATACACAATTAATATGACCATGAAACTTGTCGCGATGATCAATTTGATTGAATGAAAATTTGAAAAATTCTGACTCAGCGATTTACTTGTGTTAATAAAAGTAAGTGTTGCCAACCTATTTTGATGAAAATTCCCTAGTAAGTGCCAAGAAATTCCCATATTTTCCCTTTTTTCCCACACAAATTCAAAGATGTCCAAATTTATCCATATGTTCATTTTAGCTTGAAAAGTGTATTCAAATGAAAAAAAACTATTTTGGTCAATAATTATATTCATAAAAACAACAAAACAAAATAAAAATATCTTTCAAGTTACATTCAAATAAAAATAGAACACCCTTTTTTGGTAAAAACTATCCATTTTTTTAATTGTTTTTTACGTTTCTTATTTTGTTTTCCTTCAAGACTTTTGTCATGTCATGACACAATCACTCAATAACGGACATACGAATAGTTCTGTGCTTCTGTCATTTGTGTTCTGTGTTTGAAACATGAAACCTTCGATCATCACAGAATCTCAGAACACTAACATAAGAAGATGGTTGCGTCTGTGGTTGACCAGCAATCCAACAAAAAGTGCAGAAACCATTTGACAGACTGCGTAGGCCAGCATGTAGTCAATTACGAAAATTCCCATATTTCGAGCAAATTGATTTTTTCTCCCCTTTTTCCCATTTCCATATTTTTTCAAAAAATATTCTCATAATATGGGAAAATTCCCACAGGTTGGCATCACTGTTAATACTAATTAAATTATGTGAAATCTGCTGGGTTTGAATTTCCGGAATTTCAATATGTAACTAAATATTGATCACTGCGAGAAGCTTTTATGATCATATGAATTGTGTGTAATGAGGTTAGAAGTTGATAGTTAGAATTTGAAAAAAAAAATATTTTCTCCTTTTTAGAGCGTTTATATGTATGCTTTTTTATAATTCTATTTTACTTTCAATTTATTCAACATCAAACTGTATACCCTACAAAAAGCATACCTACTGGGTGAAATGACGTCCGAAAATCTATTACTACCTGCCGATCTATTACTGGTTGCTTGTCACCAATAAATCGCTTCGGCGTAACTTCTACCTTACGTTCGAGATACAGTAATAAAAATACCTTCCGGAATAACAGAGGCATCTGCCTCTGAAGGCCTGATAAGCCGGAGCGGCGTGGTTGTAATAAGCGAACTCAGTTTTGCAAGGCATTCGGTCGATGCAGATCGTCCTGCAGCTCAACTTCTCTCCGACTTCGCATTCACAGACGTCAGAACACTCGAATTCGTCCTCATGATAGATCTGGAAAACAGTATTTTGAGAAACAGATCGATATGATAGAGCAATCACGTTTGAGGCATCTCGCTGGAACGCATCCCAAGATGATCTCGTAGCAAGCTGTGTAGAATTGATTATTCATTTGTAGAGGTTGGTTGCCTTGATCAGGAAACTCGGTGACGTGATCGCATCAAAAATTTCATGTTGAGATCATAAGAATGTATGTATAATTCTAGATCACAGATGGAAACAGTCGAAGAACGTAGATTCATATGACTCCGAATGGAATTTTACGTTACGTACTGCCACTTCCCCTTACTGCGTTTTGCTGATATCGAGGCTGAAGTCACTGGATGATATTAGTAGACAAATCGAGGTTACCTTTCTTTACAAATGAATCATCAATTCTACCAATCTTGATATCAAGTCATGTTATCGGCATCTAGTTTGCAGAGTTTTGAGGTAGGTGACGCCTATACACAGTAGGACGCTGTCATATATAGTCAACACGTGAATAGCCCTATGTTCACACGTCACAAAGTGATACTACAAGTTAACCACTCTAGACTAGATCTTTATGTATTATCTATCAGTCGTCTTCGATTTGGGTGATATATATGAAGCAGACCAAGAGCGTAGGCACTGTCTCGCTCCTGAGGGAAGCCACTGATTTTTTGGAACGATATCATCATGAGCTCTGTACAAGAAATTACTCTTGAATATATTTCTGAATTTTTTTATAATATGTTCATGATTTGTGCTAATAGATCACGGCTCAACCTTCAATGCTGATTTCAAAACGCTATAGATTCGATTCTCTTCAACTTCAACTCATAATATTGATTGTACATTAGATGTGAATCATGATTCATCGATTGATTTCATCCCTCCAGTGCCAGTGGTGTTCCCCAATTTGTTGAATAGTTTGAACAAAATATCAAGAGAGTTCAGTATGGGTATTATTTAGACTCCTTCTTGGTGTTGACGAGGAAGAGATTTCGATGATATTGAAAGTACAACAATACCAATTACATTTTGACTAGAGACGAAGTCAAACTTACACAAAATAATATTGTATGCACCAGTAAATTATCTCGTTGTACACTATTCCAGTTGGGTTGTAATGTAACAAAATGAAAGTTATTTCTAAAATTACTTCAACCCTTTGTGTATTTTCGTTCCCAGTGGTGCTCAAATTGATATTACCGTTCACTTTGGTACAAGAGTTTCTTGAATGTGAAATTGAATGAGTTTTGTAATCACCTTGAAAGTTTAATAGCCTCATCTTTGTGATGAGAGATAACTTATATCCCAATTTCGCGATTGGAGAGTCGTATATACTTACATACACTGCTTTTCTTTGATGTCCCCCTATTTATATTTTGAACGGGTATGAATACTATATTTTGGAGTGAAATTGACAGATGAAAATTTCAAAATAGCGATTGGGCACCATCTAAAAAAATTGAATAGAGAGGGGGGTCTTGCGATGAATCTTTCTGAAGCTCTTGGCGAGTACTTTACAAACCTAGAATATGAAGTTAATATTTTCACCTACTAATAATTTCCTGAATACATCGACGTTTGATTTCATAATTTGGAGATATTTGGATGAGTTCAGTAAAGAAGATGCACGAGATAGTTGCCTTGACCTACTTGACATGATATCCGATATTTCACGATATTTTCGAACACAATTACGGCGATATTCCTACAAATATTTATTATCCTCTGCCGTATATCCAATTTCGAAACAGGTTCAGTGTTGTACTTATTTTTTCTGCAAATGGCCGTATGAAAAAAAGTCGAGAGGTGTCAAATCTGACGAGTCAGTTGGCCATACCATAGGAGCTCGACGGCAAATCAAACAACCGGAGGAAATATTATCCAAATAGTTTCTCAGTTGTCTAGAGTAATGTGGTGGTGTTCCATTTTGTTGAAATACAATATCCATATCGAATACATTAGGATTTGCTTCGACGATTTCGGTGATTAGAGGGTCGAGAGTACGTTTGAGCATATTCAAATACAGTTCCCCTATCAAAGTTTGTTCAATGAATAGATATTAAAGAATTTCTATTCAGGCACTATATGTTCCGCCCTCGTTTCCGGCATTTTGTAGTAGGTGAAGATATCGACTTTATATTCAGGGGTTGAAAAGTACTCGTCAGGAGCTCCAAACGGATGTGTCACAAATGCCCCTCTCCATTTATTTTTTCTTCAGATGGCGCCAAGTCGCCATCTTGAATTTTGTTTCGCCAATAATACGACTTTGGAATATAGTATTCAAACATCAATTCCTTCATCCCAAGTTTCAATTATTTCAGTTGACCCGTTCAGAACATAAACGGAGGGGGGGCATCAAAGAAAATTACGTATGGATACCGTTATAATTATTTGTAAGAGAAAAAGCGGAAACCATTTTCCTTCCTCTAGACTAGAGTGATATTTGCTGAGAATACTGAATGTTGAGTACGTACCCTTTTGAATGATCCCTCAGGAATGAAATGACTTGCAAACTGAGGTCTCTGAACGACACATGATCCTGAAACAATGCATAACAAATTAGGAAAGAAAGTTTCATCTCTTAGAAGAATGTTAAATCAAGGAATCAAATTAGTATCACAATATGAGAAGAATATTCATCAACTAAATACTATCTGTACCTTGTTATCCTCTTTTTTTGTGATGTTTTAAAATACCATCAACTATCAATTTTACTTTTACTTTCAACTTGTTTTTTGTATTGAGATAATTCGATATAATTCTATTTTCTCATTCAATATCAACAATATCATTCTTTCAATTGAAATAATATAATATAGTGATCCAACTTCTGATTTTACAGAGTATTTTTCATCATAATTCAATATAGGCGATCTACTTCGATATCGATTTTTATTGTTTACAAAATGAAGCAATGTATTCAATCAAAGTGAAATAGAATCATTGATTTTCTGTTGTTGATTCTACGTACTTTGATATTCTTCCATCATACATACATACATACCGGATAAGACATCGCATACAATACACTGATCATCGAAACGGCAAATTTTTTTGAATGTTCTGGTTGCGTGACAAGGGATATCCTGTGATGTTCAGAGAACATCCTGAGAATGAAGGGAAATGAGGTAGGAATTGGTCTTCTTCTTAAACCTCTGGAGGTTATATGCCTCGAGGAACACCTCCCTTGGCAATGTGTTCCAGAGCCTCGCTGTTCGTTGGATGAACGAGTCTTTGGAAAGATATGTTCTGCAGGTCTCCAAAGTGACCACGAAGGGGTGCGAAGCCTCAAGTCGACGGGTCAATCTCGCGGAGACTGCCAAGGGAAGACCAATTGTTGATATTTCAGAAGATCATTGTCCATGAAAATATCTATAAAATAGAGCCAGATCGCCAACTTTTCTACGGTGTTCCAGAGAAGTGAGTGAGTTTGTGAGCGAGGCATCACCCACGAGACGAATAGCCCTTTTTTGGACAGAATCCAACAATTTCAGGGTATGTTTGGGTGCTGCACTCCAAACATGGGAACAGTATTCTAGGACAGATTATAAATAAATAAATAAATAAATAAAATATTTAATAATCCTTTAAACTATCAGTAACAATAGATAGGATAAGTCAATATTACATGTCATAAATGGACAGTGGTATCAAGTTTTAATGGAAAAATAAGACGAAACGAATTACTATAACAAGACGAGACATTTACAGTGATGACTAACATAAACTGAGAAATACTTCAGTATTATAGTTTCAAAATTGAAAAGTAGGATTCGAATTCCTCAACAGTATAGAAGCATTCTCTGACTAGGAGTGTTTTCAGTCTACATTTAAAAACAGCCGGGGATACCGCGTTTTTTATTTCATTCGGCAGACAGTTGAAAAAACGGCAGCCTGCATTGATTGGAGATTTTTTGTAATATGAGTGTTTAGGCTTGTTTAGTTTGATATCATTCTTTTTGCTAGTGTTGTAAGAATGTGAATCACTATTAATGGGAAATGAATGTTTGTTAATGTAAATGTAGGTTAACAGTTTCATCAAATAAATTGACGTTACCGTGAGGATCCGTTTTGATTTGAAGACCTGTCTACATGATTGGCGACTACTTATGTTGAAAATGAGCCTTATGATTCGTTTTTGAGCAACGAAAATTCTTGTTATATCTGATGCCTGACCCCATACTATAATGTTGTATGAAATTGTAGAATAAACAAATGCATAGTAGACCTGCAGTAATGAGTCCGTGTTCAAAACATTTCTCAGTGTTGCCAAAATGTAAAAGCTTTTGTTGACTTTTTTGCAAACCATTTGTATTTGTTCCTCCCATGTTAAGTTACGATCTATAATCGTTCCTAAGAATTTAGATGAAGTGGAAGTTTGAACGATATGAGTATTAATTTCAAAGGTAAAATTAGAAGATATTTTATGTTTTGAATGGAACTCGATTACTACTGTTTTATTATGATTTATTATAAGTGTATTCTGAGTGCAGTAATCCGCGAAATCTTTCAGAACCGAGGCGGTTTTTTGCTGTAGTCTTTGGTGATCAGAATCAGATACCACAATAGAGGTGTCATCAGCATACATGAAGACCCTACCATTTTTTATGTAATGAGGCATGTCATTGACATAGGTTAGGAAGATCAACGGACCTAGAACACTTCCCTGTGGTGTTCCAAGATCTAAATCGTATTCTTTCGATTTGATTTCACCGATTCTCACTGTAATTTTCCTATCTTCAAGAAAGGACGTTATCCAATCATTCACTGGGCCACGAAGACCTAGGTAGTTGATTTTTTCGGAGACGAAATTACTATTAACCGTATCGAATGCTCGCGTTAGGTCGAACGATATAACAATTACGTGTTCATTTCTGCCCATAAGGTCATTTATGTGTTGAACAAATTCCGTTATGGCTGTTTCGGTAGATAGACCAGGGCGGAAGCCATGTTGGCAATCAGTTAGTATTTTATGCTTTGTGAAGAAATCTGTGATTCTCCTGCAAATGATCTTTTCAATTATTTTGGAAAATATGCTCAGGAGAGCAATTAGACGATAGTTCTCTATGTTGCTGGTATCGCCTTTTTTGAATATGGGAATGATGGCAGCGGATTTCAGGACACTAGGAAAAGTGCCAGAATTCACTGATAGATTTATGATGTCAGCAAGGTATTGTGATATAATACAAGCACACTTTTTTATTATATCAACCGGGATATCATCTAATCCAGTGGACTTTTTATTAGGTAGGTTAGCAATAACTTCCTCAACCTCTTCTTTAGTAGCGGGTATGAATATGAATGAATCCCTCAGACTATTATTGGAGGTTGTGCACGATTTAGATGAAGTATCACCGAAGTGTTCAGATATTTTATTTTCAATAACGGTGGATAAGTAGTTGCCAAATAGATCAGTAATAATGTTCAAGTCCGTGGTTAAATGGCCTTCATGAGAAATTTCAAGTTCTCTCTGCTTTTTAGATTTGCCTGTGAAATTATTAGTGATAGTCCAGATTGCTTTGGATCTATTACTTGATTGTTTAATTTTGTTGTTATAAAATTCGCGTTTTTCCATTTTAATATTTTCATCCACTTGTTTTTTAATTTTTTTATAGTGCATTTTGATTTCATCGTCATCAGTTCTTTTTCTCAACCAATCTAATTGTTTTAGGTTATCCAGGTCATTTTTCAATTTGTTTGATAAAATTATTTTATCTGAAAATTTTCGATTTTCAGCTACCTTTCTTTTTTTTGAGAATACCAAATCAAAGCACCATAAAAAATCATTTAAGAAGAGTTCGAAGATTTCATCTACATTGCCCATGTCATCAATGGATGGCATAATGCGCATTGTCTTCTCCAGATGACAACAGAATTCCTTTACAGATACGTCATCGAAACTACGGTAGGTATAGTAGGGGTTTTCTTTTTTAGTATCATTCTCAGTATGAAGAGTCATATCAGTAATTTGAGCATGGTGGTCCGATAGACCTGGATCAAAGTTGTATCTGTGCCTCATGAGAAGCTGACTGGAAGTGAAATAACTCCTGGCCCGATACAAATAACCAAGTTTTTGGGGATGCACTATTAGCAATTGATCTCACGTGATTTTCCCAAGAAAGGTTATTGCTGATAGTAATACCAAGCATCGAGATGGGTGTCTTCAAAGGTATTGTTACTGCTGAAGAGCTTATGTTGGGCACAGTGAGTTCGGTTTTTCTAGAGAAAAGGCATGCTTGTGTTTTGTTCGCATTGAAATCTACCAAGTTATTGAATCCCCATTCGAGAATTGTTGCGAAGTCCATATTTATGTTGGCAACATTTCTCCCTCGTTTCTGATTCTCCTGACTGGTATTGAAGCCCTGGAAGAGAAGGCGGTATGGGGGGTACTATCATCCGCGAAGCTGTGTACTGGACATGGAGTTGCTTCCAACAAATCGTTGATTTGGAGTAGAAATAGTTTTGATGCTAGAATTGCTCCTTGCGGAACAGAAGAATTTATGATCAGAGAGTCAGATGAAACTCCGCCGACCTCTACATGACGAGACCTAGCAGAGAACATAGCTTGGGAGGCAAGCCAAAAGGTGGCAGATTGGCGAGGAGTCCGTGGTGCCAGACTCGATCTACTGCCTTGGAGATATCAAATGCCTTTGCTGAGGTTCCACCAAATTTTTCAATAGATTGCTATGTGAGACGTAAGCGAGCAGGTCGTAAGTTTATCTCTGATGACGGAAGCCATGTTGCCTATCGGCGATAATACTTGAATGTTCCAGGTATCTCATGAGCTCGATGTTGATAGCTTTCTCTATGATCTTTGAAATTATAGATAGCAGTGCGATTGGTCTGTAGTTGCTAGGTAGGGTTGTTTTACTGGTTGTTCTCTTGCAATTTTTCAGTTGGGCGGGAATATTCCCAATTTGTAAGAGTAGTTGAACAACTTGCAGAGAACAGGTGTTAGTTCGGGAGTACATTTCTTGAGGATAATCGGTGGGATTCCGTCGGAGCAACAAGCTTTGTTGGTGTTGAGACCCAATAAAATCTTCCTCATAGTACGTTTGCGAAAGGTGATCTCGGGCATATGACTGTCAATTGGCGTTATGTTTGGAGGTTATTTCTCTAATGAATCCAGAGTGTTTCCAGCAAATGAATGCACAAAAATGTTGGCATTTTCCTGGGCAGTTGTGGCTAATGTTCCATCTTCCTTGGTTAGAAGAGGAAACGAGCTGGAAGTGAAGTTTCTGCCTACAGCTTCGGCGAAGGACCAAAATGACCGGGATCCGTTAGGACATTCAACAAGTTCTGATCTTATTTTGGCATTATGAGCATCCTTCGATGATCGAATTGTCTCATTGCATATACCTCTAACCTCGACATATTCTGTTCTAGTCTCAGGGCCATCGAAGGAATGCGACAGCTCTAGATCAGTTTCTACTGAAACAGGCCTCATCAGAAGATGTTCTCCTTGTAGTGTTCGGTTTGTAGGTTTGCATCCCCAACATGATGATTTCAGAAATTGTCTTAGCACATCGTGTTGGATCTGCTGAGGAGAAACAAACTCTCTTCCATGGAAACGCTGCAAAAAACATAGGAAGATCTTCCCAGTCCGCAGAATTGTGATGCCACATGAGACGGGTAGGAATTGTGGTGCAGGATGGTACATGGAAAGGGCAGGTTGTGGAGATGAGGGTGTGGTCAGAGTTTCCAAGTGAGGCACAAACTTCTATTCTATATGGATCATGATTACTGTTGAGAAGAAGATCTAGTTTATTGGCAGACTATGGTTGTTGACGTCTGGAATGCTTGTTGCATAATATTCTATTACTCACTTGGCGGCAACGTCGTAGCTGTCGTAGTCGGCCTCGTCCTCCTCGTAGTCGTCGTAGCCCTCGTGGTCGTAGTCGGTGGCCTCTCGGTCGTGGTCGTAGTCGTAGTGGTGCTGGTAGGCACGAACTGCGTCGTCGTGCGAACCGACGGCGCGTGCGTGGTCACGTGATGAGGCGGCGCGACGGGGCGCAGGCGTATCACGGGCGGGGCGGGACTGGTTACTGGCAAGCGGGGCGCGAGTTTGGAGAGCTCGGCGGAGCGGCTCGTGTGGAAGTTCTTCTGAGACTCGACTGTCATTGCGAAATGGTTAGGCAAGATGTCAGGCAAGTAATTGTGCAGGAAGTTCTCTTGTTGGCATGCAATAGCTATTTATATATCAAGGGAGCAAAGGTGTCCATTTTCTCCCGCGTGTGAAGTTTGATACTCGACTCGTAGCGGAGGGCGTTTAGCACACACGGGAGGAAATGAAACTTTGCTCCCAAGATACACAGGGTGAGTCAAAAATGTGTACCGAGCTTGCTGGAGGTGATAGAACAAGGGAAAATGAGTAGTTCATTATATATAAACTAATGACCCAAAATGTGTATTGGGGGAGATATATCCAAATCTAAAAATCAATTGAAATTGATGGAGACATAAGCCAAAAACGTGTTGAATTCTACCTGAGGTTGGATTTTTGAGTGCGCTTCCTCAAGGGTACAGGACTCTTTGGAATTTTCCTGTTTGCAACCTGATATGGTTTATATGAGCATCTTTGAGTGCTCGTCAAGTTTACCATCTGGAACTTGACATTTGATTTTATAAGTGCGCGTTCTTAGGGCACGGGGCCCTTCATTTTTTATGAAAACCCGTCCATTCTCAACCCCTCTATTCACCAATATAACCACGATATTATGAAAATAGACATTGGCATCCAATTTAGAATATTGTTTCAACTCCAATTACTTCTGATAACGGCTGAAGATGGACTTATATAAGTCCCAAACATGCCATCTTGATATTGTTTCACATTAATATTGAAGTAATGGAGATGACTTTGAGCTTTCCTTTTTCCTTTTCAAAAATTCCACTACACTTCGAGCAAACATGGACTACTAGGAGAGGAAAGGGGGATCTTGTGATTCATCCTTCTGAAGCTCCTGACGGATACTTCAGAAGCCTAGGATAAGAAGTCAATATCTCCACCTAACACAAAATAGCAGAACATGAATTAATTGTCTGAATACATCACCGTTTACTTCGTAAATTGAGGCAATAAGCTGAGTTGAGTTTAGAAGATGCTCGAAATGGATGCCTTGAACTTCTTGACATAAGAACAGCCTATCCGATATCGTACACCAAACATTTTTTTTTTTTTTTTTTTATTTTTTTTTATTTATTTACGGGAAACCCCATTACAAAAAAATATACATGAATATACAATTATTCATAGAGAATGAGCTTAAAACTAATAAATAAATATTCACTACATATTATTATATATGCCAGAAATTTCAAAACCCTTCAAAATATAGATTTGACAAGTGTTCTGAAGCTATTTAATGATCCATGAAGAATGTCTAAGTCGGTTTCGTTAATTATTTTCAATGTTCTTTCAATGGGTGAATGTTGTCCATAATTTGTAGCATGGTGAGTTATTCGAAATAGGTTTGTATTTCTTAAAGTTCTGTTCGGCACATTGAATTTAATTAACTCCAACAACTTCGGACACACAATAAATCCATTTATTAATTCGAAGATGAAACATACGTCGTTGGTTAATCTACGTTTTTTCAGAGTCTGCATCTTCAGATCATCAAGTATTGAAGTGTAATCATGGTTATGTATGGTTGTATTAAGTTTATATGCACAAAATCTTAAGAATTTGTTCTGAGTGCGTTCTAATGTATAATTATGTACTTGATAGAATGGTGACCAGACAATAGAGGCATAATCTAGGTGAGAAACTACCAGCGACATATACAACATCCTAACTGTATGGATAGAGAAAATGTTACAGTTTCTAAGAATGCACCCCAAAATCTTCGAAGACTTGATTGCTACATTATTAATGTGTTCCACAAAACTCATATTTTGTTCAAAAACACAGACACAGATAAAAGTTCTTTATCTTTAATGTAATAAGAAGATTCATATTTCTTTTTTATTTTGTAGAAGCTAATAAAAGTACATTTTTCAATATTTAGATATAGTTTATTTTTATCACACCAATTAATTAACCTATTTAGGTGTCCTTGTAGACTTTTTTCATCCACATGTGAGTTAACAGGTCCGTACAGTTTTAAATCATCAGCAAACAATAGATATTTACTATATATGAAGGAGTCGCCGATATCATTAATGAATAGGTTGAATAATAGTGGAGAACAATGTGAACCCTGTGGAACCCCAGATGTCACATCAATATCGTTTGATAGATAAGACCCAACTTTAACTTTCTGTTTGCGACCAGATAAAAAGCTCTTTAGCCAATTCAATAGAGTTTCATTAAAACCAATATTTTTTAATTTAAGCAATAATAAATTGTGATCTACCCTATCAAATGCTTTGCTGAAATCTGTATAAATTGAATCTAATTGCATTTTCTGTTCCAGAGTGGATATGATATCATTGTTATAAATTAACAAATTTGTTACTGTGGATCTTTTAGACATAAAACCGTGCTGATTGTCATTAATGATCTCTTTACACAAAAAACTGATTTGGTCAAACACTAAGCTATCAAATAACTTGGGTATCGCAGATTGATTAGATATCCCTCTATAATTTTTAATATTTTCTTTTTCACCCGATTTGAATATGGGTATTATATAACTGTTTTTCCAGATATCAGGAAAAATTCCAGAGTTCAATGATAGATTAAAAATCATACAAAGTGGATGTGCAAGAGAACACAGTTACGTCGATATTTCTACGTACATCAATAAAAAAAGGCCTAACGGTTTCAAATCTAGCACAAGGGCTGACCATTCCGTATGACCTCGGCGACCAATCCAACGACCGGAAAAAGTATTGTCCAAATATTTTCTGACCTTTCTGAAGTAATGTTGTGGTGCTCCATCTTGTTGGAATACAATATCCATTTTAATGTGTTTGTAGTCAGGCAAAAGGCCATTTTGTAGTAGGTGAAGATATTTATTTTATATTCTAGGGTTGTGAAATATCAGTCAGGAGCTTCAAGAACATGTGTCACAGCACAAGTCCCATTTCCATTTTACTGTTTTTCCCAGATGGCGCCCAATCGCCATCTTGAAATTTTCATCTGTCAATCTTGCTTCAAATATAGTTTTCATTATCCCAAATTCAATTTTTTTCAGTAGAAGGGGCGAGGAGCATAGAAGAAAAGCACTGTATATGATTTCATCAACGAACACATATATCCGAGAGGGTCGTTTTTGAAATTGTGCTTCAGACGGCCTATCTCTCGAGTCTCGAAAATCAATTTGACACTTCTGTCATATTGAAGTTTGGAATATGAGAAAGTACGTGAGATCCTTGGAGTTCAAAAAGGGAATTGTTACTTGTTTTATAGTAGTGATGCAGACACTGATTGGGTACTTGGGTAGCATGAATCTTATACGTATATCTCTACCAAAGAAGCAAGCTGAAGCCAGTTTATTTTACCTCCAACGGGAGGTAATTTTGTTTCCTCCTTCCGAAGCTTTTTTAATTTTCATAAAATATTTTTGTAACTTCATGTGATTCCAAAAATGTTTTCTGATCTACGTGAGTACTACCATGTTTCACCATTGATACTCTATCATTCTTGCTTTGTTCTTAGTAGAATAATTTCTCAATCAGCTGATGATGGATACTCTATAGATCCGAAATATTCCATTTATGATTTCATGATATAAAACGTTATGGAGACGACTTGGAGTATTATTACTATATGAATTATATTTTATGTTATGTGAATCACGTTTACGTATATGGCAAAAAAAATAGTATTTCAAATCGACGGTATGATATCAGTTTTATTTATTTTTCATTTATTTATTTATTTATTTCAGTTATTGCATTACATTCTTTTCTTCATTGATACATTTCATACAAATAATATATAAAGTATAATTAATTTTCTAGTAGGAATGACATGAATGATCAGACAGTAATTCCTGGTATAAGATCATTCATGAAGTATTATCGACTGTTGTATAATTGAAATTACAAATAGTGAACAAAACTTACATATCATTAAGATACAGTCATATTATAGTGAATTAGAAGGAGAAACATAAAAACAGTGAAAAAAAAAGAAAAAAGGAAATTCATGGTCTTTCAGCTTTGATCATTCCTTTGCATATAAATATATTTCTTAACTTTATTTTTGAATTGCATAATATTTGGGCTGTTTTTGATATCATCTGGTAAATTATTGAATTTCGAAATCGCCTCATGTGTAAACTTTTTTTGTACAAGTTTAGAATTTGCAGCTTCAAGATGAAACAAGTTACATTGTCTAGTGTGATGATCATGAATTTCGGAATTCCTGATTAATATAAAATTTGATTTAAGCTTTTTGTTGATGATATAATAGGAAATTTTGAGAGTATTGATTAAAAAGTGCTCTTCCAAAGAAAATGTGTTTGTTTCCTTATACAGTTGATTCGTTGGAGTGTCATATCGAAGACGATACAATACTTTCAATGCCTTTTTATATAGAACAGAAATTTTGTTGAAACTATTTTTGGAACAAGATCCCCAAATATTTATGAGATAGTTAATTACTAAGTTTAGGACATCTTCTCAAAGCACCAATAATGGGAGATACTTTTCCTATTCAAGACAGTTTGGGTTACAACATAAGATGTGCCATATATGGAGATTTTGTTGTGCTCCTAATACATTTTTAATACATTTTCGCTCATAGCTTCCGCATTATGTAAATAATTGTATTATTCTCGCTATACAAATCAAAACTGCAAACAAATTTTTGGCACCCAAGCTATACAATTTTGAGCGGAGAACTTGTATCTAGCGACGCCATATAAATTCTATCCTTGACAAAGTTAAAAATGGATGATGTGAACTTTGGCTGGGAATAAGTTTATTCACCAACACAATATTTTACTCATTCCTTCACACTGAACTGAAGTGAGCAAATAAAAGTTAGAATAACTCGAATGAAATTTTATATTTCGCTTCGAAACTGCTTCGGATTCTTCTTGGAAGGTTGAACTCCCACAATTCTCCTTTGTTTCTTTATATGAAACCAGGTGCATACTTATATTTGTCTAGAGAGAGATATTGTTTTCCACCTATATGAATTTATGAAACCATCAACGTACTTCTAGAACAATATCAGTTGGAATTGGAATGATTCTGGAGTATATTTTATCAAACAGACAGACATCTTTTCTGCGAATCATTTCTTTTATTATTGAGGGTTGAAAGATAACAAAGAACTCAGCTACATCTTGTGTAAGATGCAGTGGTTAACCGACCGTCACTGGTGTATACCAATACAATTGAAGAGTGGAAGTAACAAAGGTGCCAAAAATAAAGTTTCGAGATATCTGAGGAAAGAGTAATAAAAACGTCAATATTTGTTTTTTTCGTTTATTAGCATCAAGAATCGTATGTAAGGTCAACGAAAAACCAATTGTAACTAACACCGATATCTGTTATGAAATACAGCTGGAAATAAAAATTATTCCTTGAAAAAATAAATAGAAACGAGGTGGGTGCCACATTTTTTTCAACAAAGTAAGATCAGGAAATATTGCTGATACAATTTGGAGTTTTAAAAATTTGAAAATAAGGATATACTTAGGCAATAGTTAAACTGACATTGATCTCAATAATAACGAAAATTCACTCTGGTACTTGCCCCCTTTGATGTCAAATAACCGTTGTCGCTTACCGCTGGCTCCATCTAATTGTTGTTGTTGAAAGGATTATATTACTCATGGTACTGACAGCTTTTGTCAGGTCATGAAGCATGTCGTTCAACACCGTTCTACGGCAATATCTCAATTCATGAAATTATGGCACTTAGCACCTTTGTTACTTCCACTCTTCAATTACTAAAGAAAATGTGTTCTCGGCCACTTCACTTAATTCGAAATAGCTGGCATAGTGGAAAAAAGTCAAGCTTTTCGCACAGAAAATCATTTGATGACCGTCGGTCATTGACAGAAGCTGTGTTATCGTCCATGTTTGAATAGTGCCAGAAAATAGTGATAGAAATTTAATTTTGATTGCATTTGGTGTATGAGTTTTGTTTTGTATCAATTGGTAGAAATAGTTTCGCCTGTACTCGAAGAAAAAAACAGACATACTGTTACGTTATTCGGGTGCAGGAACGAACACGACACTATTTATTCTAGAACATATTGATTTTAATTGGAGAAACACTGATTTATATATCGAACTTATAACTACTATTTGAAAGAATGGCGTGTGCATGTCATTCCAAAGCAATCTGTTGACATTTGTTATCTCGTATTTGGATTGACTATTGATTAAATGGCCGTCATCTGGTATGCTTGTTATGTTCACTGAATATAAAAAACTCGCCATAAAAATCACATTTCCTGTTGAATTTTCTATATAAAAATGTTTTTCTGCAACCGACACAAAAGTCGTCCATTTTGATACCAAAATTAGCTCTTAAATTGACGTTTCTATTACTGACATAAAAATAGGTATGTTGCTAGGCAACATATTTAGTTCCTAGGAGCAAAAGTTGAATTTTAGTTCCTAAGAGCTAAAGTTGAACTTTAGCTCCTAGGAACTAAAAAGGATGTACTGGACGTCTTCAAGAATAAACAACATTGTGACGTTTGGTTATTTGGGTCGAGACGCATACCAGATTTGTTTCCGATTTCAGCAGATTTGGCATTTCATACCCATGCTGGAGATATAAATACACCTCATTATAGTTTATTATTGAGTTATAAACATCTCAGTGAAGTATTTTTGTTTTGATCAGGAAAGCCTTCAAGATTCAAATACTTGCTTGATCTGTATTCCATTCGTGATTCTCGGGATGGATAACTTGTTTTTGAATAATCACGGCAAGCAAAAGTTTATTTGTCTCAAACAACGATATTGTTTAGCTTCATTGGATTATCAAGTCGAACACAGTGTAGTATGGAGAGGAATAAATAATTACTATTATCATTGTTGATATGCTCACTTAACCTAACATTTTCCATGTCTTGTTCCTATAGCTGGCACTGGCGCGGTATTTGCCATTAGAGCACCTAGTCCATACACAAATATGTCACTCTGTGGTTGTATTTATATTGAAACTACAATTCGAACATCCTAGGACACCTAACCTGCTGTTAATGCAGGTAGAATATTCTCACCACATGGATTATTTGTCAATATTTGTTGCATTGCATACATATGACACGGCATTGGTGGTTATTACTTCATAAGTTTATTTGAGTTAATTGTTCCGGTTGCAGAAAAAATAGCATGTTTCATTCGGATCAAAAGTGACTTTGTTCGACTCGCAAATTTTGCTTTCGCTCGGCTTCGCTAAACGCTCCGCCTCGCAAATGCAAAATTCGCTTGTCAAAAAAAGTGTCACTTTTTATCCTAATAAAACAATCTACTATTCATTGAAGTAAAGCATGGGTATATAAAGTGTCCATGACAGAATAAGAAGGCAAGTAGCTGTAAATGCATTCAACCCCGCATCCAACAAAAAGGGAGAAAAGGCAAAATTTCGAAATTTTTTTTCATATATCTCGATAAATAGTGATTTGTTCACATTTTCATCATTAAATTCGTGTTTTCATACGAATATACGTGAGTATCAAAATGAATTTTCGAAAAAAATAACATTTTATGACGCAGAGTCCGCAGACGCAAGTGTGCAGTGTCTGTTATGATCAATGGGTGTTTACATTTAGTTCATTCGATATGATGGATAACTTACCAACGCAAGGATTGACCCAGAGCAGTCGCTGCCAGCCGAGACAGTCGTACAGCTGGGTCATGTCAGTGCCTTTGCAGGCGCAGCTTGTTCTCAAATCCGTGCCTAGGATACCCAAGATGGCGAATCGGCATTCCAAAGGCGAGCCTGCACACTTTTTCGTCACGCTGTCCACCGCGCAGGATTGCTCGTAATATTCCAGTTTCGTCCTAAAAACGACAGTTAGTCACAGTCTGAACACTGACGACTAAATATTGAGACAATATAGTACAGTGTGTCCCACTTACCATGCTCACTATGGGTATCTTTTTAACGGTGAGAGATACGAGGTCGGTTGAATGACACCAAATGTGGAGTTTGTCAAGGCCAACTATAATGTGAAAAAATATTTTGATAAAATCTATTCGTTTTTGTTTTATACGCGAAAAACAGATTTTGATCATTTTCATGTCTCCTCCGTAACTTCTTTATTTATGAAAATATTCAAATAGGAATTTCACATTCTCATGGCAGTTTTTTGAAGTGATTCCGAAAAAAATATGAAATTTATAACAACTCTTCTAGAATTTGAGATATCAGCACCAACTTTAGTTTTTCAAATGTAGGTCATAGCTCACTATGACTTAGTTGCAAATAACTTTTTTTCCTCTTTCAGATGATATGTTGCAGTGATAGTTTTGTGTTGACAACAACGGAGTTATCGTCATTTATACAAAAACAAAAAATTATTCGGAAGCCGCCATCTTGAATTCATAGATTTTAACAAGAAAATCATGATCTCCGACCTCAAAAACCCCCACTTACCAATTTTGAATGGAATCGGACCAACTCTTGTCCGCCATCTTGGAGCAGCCATTTTTTTTAATCTCAACAAAAATTCCATAATGTTTTGTCACCGAAATTATGAACACTTGCCAAATTTCAAGTTAATCGGAGTTATGGAATGTTTGTTGAAATAAAAAAAAATGGCTGGCTCCAAGATGGCGGACAAGATTTGGTCCGATTCCATTCAAAATTGGTAAGTGGGGGTTTTTGAGGTCGGAGATCATGATTTTTTTGTTGAAATTTATAAATACAAGATGGCGGCTTCCAAATAATTTTTTGTTCTTGTATAAATGACGATAACTCCGTTGTTATCAACACAAAACTATAACTGCGACATATCATCTGGAAGAGAAAAAAAAGTTATTTGCAACTAAGTCATAGTGAGCTATGACCTACATTTGAAAAACTAAAGTTGGTGCTGATATCTCAAATTCTAGAAGAGTTGTTATAAATTTCATATTTTTTTCGGAATCACTTCAAAAAACTGCCATGAGAATGTGAAATTCCTATTTGAATATTTTCATAAATAAAGGAGTTACGGAGGAGACATGAAAATGATCAAAATCTGTTTTTCGCGTATAAAACAAAAACGAATAGATTTCATCAAAATATTTTTTCACATTATAGTTGGCCTTGACAAACTTCACATTTGGTGTAATTTAACCGACCTCGGATCTCTCACCGTTAAAAAGATACCCATGGTGAGCATGGTAAGTGGGATACACTGTATAGTATGTTCCAAAGGAATGTAAAAACATTATAATGTATCGAACGGCACCTGTGCCAATCACTATCCTGAGCAGAATGATTGAAAAATAACACTTTCCTGTGCGAACATTTGCACTCGATTCTGCGATCCGATAACGAAATAAGAATTATGCCATTCGATACCAATTGAATGGTAGATTTCGAAGACCTACCTATGCCACCTCTCAGTCTGAGCCGAATCCACGGCACAGCGATTTATTTTCTCCTATCATTCTGGACATACTTCCGTCATGTGATAACGAGTTGAAACAAGAAGCAAATGGAAGGCAAAAATGTCGCTTTTGCGAGTATCCGAACGTACAGGGTGATTCACCATAAATATCCCCCCCTCTAGCTCACTTATTTTTGAACCGATTTCAAAATTCGAAATATCATCTCAAGTAATTTTCGATAAAGTTTTTTTTCGCTACATTAGAAAATACAGGGTGCTCGGAACAAACACAGGGTGTTCTGTTTGAAAAAATCAAGTAGTACTCTGTAGATCGTTTGTTCCGAGCACCCTGTATTTTCTGATGCAACGGAAGAAAAATTTCTGAAAAATCATTTTAGATTATTCTTCAAATTTTCAAATCGGTTCAAAAATAAGTGATCTAGAGGGGGGGACATTTATGGTGAATCACCCTGTACAGAGCCTATTCTAACTGTTGGGTCGCCAGCAAAAAGTTTGTCCTAAATGACGATTGTCGAGTTCAAAAATATGAAATTTTAGTTTGACTGTGAACGTGAGCACTGAAAGTTTATTTGTTCAAATTTGACAACCGTCATTCGAGACCGACTTTCTGTGGGAAACCCTATATCATTGTGTTCGCAATGAAACAGCGCTCATTCTTATGTTCAATTCACAGATTAAAAAAGTTGGTGAAAATAACTAGGAATACCTGTTAATAGGTTCAAACCTGGCAACCCAATACTTGGACGTGGAGAAATTTAACCCTATACGTTTGCATATTCTATGGGCTTTATACTCACGGTTGGTGGGAATTTTTTTTATTGAACTCATCGGTAAAAATGGAAATAGTGTTTTATTATACAAGGGAAAAAAGTAGTAGATTCAAGCTCCAGGTTGTGTTGTCTCGACGCGTAGTGGAGGGAGACAAAAAACCGTGATCTAAAATCTAATATTTTTCCCGTGTATACACTATTTTTTTCTGTGACAGAAGGAAGGACAAATCAATATTGAGGAAATATTACATTATTTAGAAATCTGAAAATTATCGACGTGAAATTTTAAGTTTTTAACAGTAGGGACACCTGCGTTATAGGCATCTTTATCATTCTTTTGAAGTAATCAAATATCTGATGTCACTTCTGTCAGTCTGATTCTGTGGTTTGATTTCAAAAAATTGCGAATTCAGTGGTTGTTTAGTAATATACGTAACCGCGGAGTCGAATGGAAGATAAAAGGACTTGCAGTTCTTTCTCGGAGACGGTATTATTGACTCATTTTTCGGAACTATAGCACAACAAAAGCCATCAACAGTGTATACAGGGTGTCCCTAGACCAGTGGGACAGTTAAATATTTTCTGAACCAATAGGCATTTTCAGAATATTATAATCTCACATCATATTGCATTATGAGTGCTAACTTCAGGAATGACTATATTTTATACGAGGGGCACAAGAAAGGCTCACAAAATCGAACATCAATTTTTTCAAATGGAACACCCTGTATTCCATTGCATTTTCATATTCTCCTTGAAGAGCTGGGTTCAACGACCTAGCACACTTGGGGTCTAGCAAGAATGATTTCCGAGATATAGGGTGTGGAAAATCGCGATTTTTCATTTTTGGGAATTTTTTGTGTCGAAACTATTCATTATTGGTCTTAACGGCTTACATGTCCATATCTCAACTTTTAATTCACTATTTACTCGTATTTAATTGAAACAAATACAGGGTGGTGTCGAATTAACAGTTTCAGTCAGAATTCTACACCACCCTGTATTTGTTTCAATTGAATACGAGTAAATAGTAAATCAAAAGTTGAGATATGGACAGGTGAGCCGTTTTGACCAATAATGAATAGTTTCGACACAAAAAATTCCCAAAAATTGAAAATCGCGATTTTCCACACCCTATATCTCGGAAATCATTCCCGCTATACCCCAAGTGTGCTAGGTCAGTGAATCCAGCTCTTCAAGGAGAATATGAAAATGCAATTAAGTACAGGGTGTTCCATTTGAAAAAAATGATTTTCGATCATGTGAACCTTTCTTGCGCACCTCGTATAAAATATAGTCATTCCTGAAGTTAGCACTCATAATGCGATATAATGTGAAATTATAATATTCTGAAAATTTCTATTGGTTCAGGAGATATTCAACTGTCCCACTGGTCTAGGGACACCCTGTATATTATAAGTATTTTTCGACTTTTCATATCTCGAGAATTTATGAGGATTCGTGTGCCAAAAAGTAAGCAAAATGATTGAAGTATATCCGGCTATGTCAAATTGATGGATTGAAAACAGAGTTCAAAATTTTCACATAAATTGAAATCGATATTCTCCCATAAGTGACTTTCGTAGTCAAGCCACTATGATTCTCATCAAACGATATATGTGATATATATCCGGGAAAAAAGTATTCACTTTTTTCCCACGGGAAAAGAAGAATTCATTGAAAGTGACATTTTATAACCTGCCAACAGAGATGAAATGCCAAACTTTTTTCCCGTCACAGAAAAAAAAAAGGACTTCTGAATTTTCAATCAATAATAGCCTAGCCAGGATTTCTTCTGGCAGTGTTTTTTATATGTTTCAACATGCTAAATTACTTTTCTATCCTTCAAACAGATGAGTGAAGGTCAATCTTACTTCAGATCTCAGACTATTACACAGGTTTTTGAAACCAGATATCGAGTTCTGTTGAAGTAAACTGAAGCTTCTCAAAATGTATGTATCTTGAGAAACTAAAACAAATGCTTTTAGAGATAGCAAAACTGAAATGGAAAGTCATACGAGTACTTGGTGCAAGACACTGGCGTGTCTCTGGCTATGCATTACAAAGCTATTCGACGGAGTGAACATTTTGGTGTCGGAATATTTGAATTTTCGGTGGCGGAACATTCGAATTTTTGGTGGCAAAACAACATTCACCATTTTCTTGTTGGTTTCATCATGAGCTTCAACTTAAAAAATTGAATCATCCTAGAGAGTAGTTGAACAATTGATGATTTCTGTTTGATAATGAATAATTTATTTCATAATTTTATAAAAGTTCTTGTACAGTCGTATACAATGAAAAAGCGTACAAGTATTAGAAAAAGAGGATTTCGGGATCCTAGTTCTAGTTGTGTGAAACTGGCTCAGCCAATGCATTGTGTTTTTGAGAATCTATGACAACCTTACTGTCAACATTTGGTGAGCAATCATTCCCCATAGCCCGTTTTAAGCAGAATAGGATGACGTTAATTTCTCTTTGTAATATACTTGTACGCTTTTTTTTAATGCGACTGTACCTAATGAAAAATTAATCAGAAATGTTATATTAATCATTCCATTGTTAATAGTTCACCACACAATGAGGATTTTCCTCATATATGTATAATTATTTCAGTTCTCTGAGCAGCAAAGGAACATTATCTATTACGTAACATCCTTGAAGTTTGCCAAAGAATATTGTGCACTTGAAGTCTGATTTTCAACACAAAAAGGAATACTTTCCGTGGCACGTACAGCGAGCGACCTCACAAATTGCGGGATCAAAACAAAATTCCTCGGGAAATTGTTTCTTACCGGCTTTGTTTTCGTTGTATTTCGGGAAGATTAACTCCTCTGTGCGAGTTAACATATTTACAAGAAATTTACTTACTAACCTGCACTCTTTGTTCTCTCTACAAACTTCCGCCAAATGGAGACAAGTGGGTGGAGAAGACTCCTCGGTTCTCAATGCGCATACAGGGTGAAGCTTTTGCTGGGCGATTAAGCAGGCGTCTTGTTTGTTGTCGGTTTTCCTGAAACATCCGAAGATATACAGGATGTCTCTGAAAGATCTTTACAGAAACTTGTCACATATTCCTCAGACCGAAACAATTCAATACAATCAAAGTTACCTCAGTACAAAGTTGCTCGGTTGATTGATTCATTTATTCAAGTTGAGGCCACTCATTAGATCAGAACCTCAATTAAAAATTGGCACAGAAAACAGAAATAAACATCAGTTACTAGTTATCGTGGCTCAAGAGAAGAAGTGAAAAAAACAAAAGTCAAAGGTCTATATAGGGAAACAATAAATGATCCTCTCAAAATATTCCAAATCATATGTAGGTACATGAAGTGATGAAAAGACAGTAGTATTGAGATAATAGAAGTTGAATCAATAAGGTACATATTACCTTTTTCATGAACTTGTGAATACATTTTTTTCCTCAGGCATCTCTTGAGATGACTAAGGTTTTGCGGGAAGATATCAATATCACTGATTCTACAGGGTGTTCCACAGATGAAGGGAAATATTTCAATGTTACATAGGGGTCATCAAGGTGGTTCTGAAAATACCATATATGATAGGTCTTAGAGTCTTCATAACGGACATACAGGGCGATTAATCGATTTCGAATAATTATTCATTTGTCTATGAGTATTGAACTACCCAGTATATTTTTATAAAATTCGGTATGTAGCTTATACTTGGGACGTTAAATTCATTCACCTATCGGGCGAAGTGAAAATCCAGGTTCGGCTTCAGGAAAAATTTACATTTATTCGAAATATTAAAATAACACACTGTATGTAATAATTGACAGAGTTCATCAAAGGAATCGTGAAGAGGAGGAAAAACTGGACTGTATTTGATGATTTTTGTTTTTCCGCCACCAATTCTCATCGTACCAATCATAAACAGAAAGCTGAAAGTATGTCAATCCGAAGAGTATTAACATTATGAAACCACTTTCAATTATGATTATTTGATATATTCTTGTTAAATGATCGTTCGAAAGAACTTACTACAGGGTGAATTATCGGTTTCGAATAATTATTCACTCGTTCTTAAGTATTAAACTACCCATCGCAATACTATTTTCTCAAACTTGGTATTGAGCTTACTTGGGACGATGGATTCATTGACCTATCAGGCAGAAATGCAATACAGGTCAGATTCAGGAAAAGTCTCATAGTCCTTATAACAGATATACAGGGTGAATTATCGAATTATAATTATTTGGTATTATTTCCATTCCGCCTGATAGGTTAATGAATCCATCGTCTCAAGTTAGCTATACATACCAAATTTGAGAAAATGTTACTGGGTAGTTTGATACTCATGAACGAGTGAATAATTATTCAAAACCGATAATTCACCCTGTATTATAAAGACTGTGAGACTTAGTAAGTTCTTTCGAGCGATTTTTTGACTAGAATATCGGATAATCATAATTGACACTGGTTTCATAATTTCAATACTCTTCAAATTGACATACTTTCAACTTTATGTTAATGATTGTAACGATGAGAATTGGTGGCGGAAAAACAAAAAGCATCAAACCCAATTCAGTTTTTTCTCCTCTTCACAATTCTTTTGATGTACCTACTGTGTTAATTATTAAATACAGTGTGTTATTTTGATATTTCGAATGAATGTAAATTTCCCTGAAGCCGAACCTGGATTTTCACTCCGCCCGATAGGTGAATGAATTTAACGTCCCAAAGTATAAGCTCCTTACCAAATTTGAGAAAAATATACTGGGTAGGTCAATACATATAGACGAATGAATAATTATTCGAAATCGATCAATCGCCCTGTATCTTCGTTATGAAGACTCTATGACCTATCAAATATGGTATTTTCAGAACCATCTTGGTGACCCCTACCTACCATTGAAATATTTTCCTTTACCTGTGAAACACCCTGTATATCACTCAGAGCTGAGTTATATGATAAACATCTGTGTACAGGAGAATATATAACGTAATTTGTTCTACTTCCAGGAGTCAGAAGGAGACTTCTACTTTTGATGCTATGAGGCTTGCCTCCCAAGCTATGCTCTCTGCTAGTTAGTTTTCTCTCAAACAGGAGTTTCATCTGACTCCCTTATCATAAATGCTGGTGTTCCGCAAGGATCTTTTCTAGCACCAACACTATTTCTACTCCATATTAACGATTTGTTGGGAGCAACTTCATGTCCAGTACACTGCTTCGCGGATGATAGTACCCTCCATACCGCCTTCTCTTCCAGGGCTCCAATACCAGCCGGGCAAATCAGAAACGAACGAGAAAGAAATGTTGACAACATAAATATGGATGGAAATTCTCTATGGAAATTGTCTAGAAAAGCCGATAACACTGTGCCCAACATAAGCTCGTCAGTAGTAACCATATACCTTCGAAGACATCCATTTCGATGCTTGGTATTACTTGCTGAAAGAGCATCCCAAGAGCTTGGTTTTCTGTTTTGGGGCCAGGAGCTATTTCACTTTCAGTCAGCTGCATATGATCTATAAAGCACAGATCCGACCTGTCCTGGAATACTGTTCCCATATGCGGAGTACAGCACACAAACATACTCTGAAAATGTTGAATTCTGCCCAGAACAGTGCAATTTGTCTCATGGGTGATGCCTTTCTCACAAACTCACTCACTTTTCTGGAACACCATGGAAAAGTTGGCGATCTGGCTCTATTTTATAGATATTTCCATGGGCGATGCTCTTCTGAAATATCAACAATTGTTCCTCCCTTGGCGAGATTATCCCGTCGAGTTGAGGCATCGCACCCCTTCGTGGTCACTTTGGAGACCTGCAGAACATCTCTTTCTAATGACTCGTTTATCCAACGAACAGCGAGGCTCTGGAATATATTGCCAAGGGAGGTGTTCCCTGAGGCATATAACCTCCAGCAATTTAAGAAGAACACCAATTCCTACCTTATTTCCCTTGGTTCTCACGATGTTCTCTGAACATTACAGGATATCCCTTCTGGTAGGAACCAGAACATAAATAATTTGAAAGTAAAAAAAAAACTTTTAAAGAAAGAGCTTTTAATTAAATACTCTAAAGAGAAGAGAATGGAATTTTCCTTAATAATTTCAACTATCAACTCATAACCTCATTATACATAATTTATATAATCATAAAAGTTTGTCGCGCGATTCACTTGTGTGAATGAACTAGTACTTATTAAATTATGTGAAATCTGCTGAAATGAAATTTTTAAATTTACAATCCAATTATATATTGATCATCGCGACAAGCTTTTATGAATGAATGAATGAATGAATGAATGTTTATTTACAGAAGGTTACAGTACATTATTTTTACAGATAGTGTTCATGCAATAAACAGTGAAAACTAAATAGTTCGTTACGGAAAGAAATATAGCAGTAAATAAACAGGAGAGAGTACCCGACTAAGTTCATTTAAGAACTTGTCTTCGGGTATTAACAATCTGTTGAAGTTTATTATTGAGAATATGTATTGTGTTCAGTTGAATCATTCGACTATAGTAGAGAAATGTATGGAAGAACTAAAACTAGAAATATGATCTCATTATGTAATTGTTACCTAAGTATTTATTAGAAAATAAGATAATTGATATAAGATGATTTCGAAACGTACAAAAGAGGTAAATAATGAAACAATGAGAAGAAAGGAAATAAAAGTTATAACATTTTTCTGAAGTAGATATTTTCTAGATTGGATCAATGACATATGTGAAGAATGTTCTATCATTGGACAATATCCAATTTTTCAGTTTGGCTTTGAATAGACCAGCCGAGTTAAGTTGTTTCAAGTCATTGGGTAATTTATTGAACAATTTTGAACCTGTATAGCGGAAATTTCTTTGACCAAGCGATTTCTGAGTAGCAGGGACATAAATGGCAGATGCTATATTTTGCCTGGTACCGTAGGTATGTGGTATATTATTTGAAATATGCCTATTGGAGTGAAGGAAACAGAGAGCTCTGAAACAGAAGAGTTGTCGTATGTCCATCACCTTGGCATCCATGAATAACTGGTCTGAGGGATGATCATATAAATTGTGTATAATGAGGTTATAAGTTGATAGTTAAAATTATTAGGAAACATTTTTTCTTCTTCTTTTTAGAGTGTTTCAATAAAAGCTTTTCATTTGAAAGTGTTTTTCTAGTTTTAATTTATTTTTTAATTTTCAGTTATCGCTAGCTGGATTTTTCGATTTACTCTCAACGAGCCTTTTCATTTGATACCCATATTGTAGAAGTATATTGAAAATGACCATTCCGCCATCTTGGATGGTCCGCTATAATGGATTTAGAATGACGTCACATCATTTTTCGAGTTACTCTCAACGAGCCTTTCCATTTGATATCCATATTGTAGAAGTGTATCAAAAATAGCTATTCCGCCATCTTGGATGGTCCGTCATATTGGATTCAGAATAACGTCACATTATTTTTCGAATTACTCTCAACGAGCCCTTTCATTCGATACCCATATTGTAGAAGTAGATTGAAAATGACCATTCCGCCATCTTGGATGGTCCGCCATCTTGGATGGTCCGCCATATTCGATTTAGAATGACGTCACATCATTTTCCAAGTTACTCCAACGAGCCTTTTCATTTGATACCCATATTGTAAAAAAATATCAAAAATAGCTATTCCGCCATCTTGGATGGTCCGCCATATTGAATTTAGAATAACGTGACACACACCTTATCGTTCATTGTCATCCAAACTGAACGTGTATACAAAATTTCAGCTCAATCGGTTGAAGATTTCTACTTCAAAATTGAGTTCAAAGATTCCACCCAAACATACATACATACATCCATACAAAAATACAATGCAAGTTGAATGAAAGCCTTTAAAATAAAAAAACAAAATCAATTTTTTGAAGGCAAAAGCACTCTCAAAGGTTCGAGGAGTTGAATTCTAGGACCTGACCTCGTGATGAGGTAGTTTCACATACTTGCAAAGGCAAAAAGCGATTTCGACGTTCCAAGGAAAATCCGGTTTGGCATAGAACACCTGCAGCGCTTCCATGCAAGAATTCCTGCTGCATCTCGATATGTCGCAGTGATGCAGGATAGGCGCCAGCAGCATCCTGCAGTGATAGTGATTCTGACAGCTCTGCATGGCGGTGTGACAGGTGCTCTGAAAGACGATTCTCTCTACTTCGTTGTTCTCCTCGGGACCTGTAATCGTTCCAAAATAGTCAGTTTGTTTTGGGCGGTCTTGTACGCCAGTGATCACATCGAACACACATGACAACATTTAACATTTAGTTTCGATATTTTTACAGAGAGGGAACAAGTTCGGAGTTATTACCACAATAGTCACAATATGCCACGCAGAATATCGAATTACATCCTTCCGAATACAGTTGCAAGTGTTTCTTTCCTGAATGCTGAGTTGTGCTCAAATTGTAAAGGAACGCTTGACTACTCACAGAACGGCTTTTGACTCTTATCAGTGCATGGGTGTCTCCAGATGTCATTCATGACCAGCATCTGGTGAAAGCCTGAGCCAACGTGAACATTTTTCAGCATGAGGTGTTCGACCACTGCGAAATGGACACAATAATGGGCACAACCTTGTCAAGGGCAGAAGGAAAGGAACACTCCAAGACTGTAATTTCCGTATCCGATGAAATGGGAGTGACTGATTGCCCGACTGGCGTTTTTTTTACTAGGAAAAAGTCAAAATACTCAAAATGGAATGAAATTGTAACAGAAAAGGGATAACTCGAAGAAAATGATAGATAACAAATCACAACTACTTTCCTGACTATATGTCACGCAGAATATTGAATTTTGAATTTTGTCTAACGCACTGAAATAGTTGTAGCTACATTCAATGTCTCACCACCTTCTTCAGGGCTGAACATATTTTCGAACCCACAAGGAGAGTAGCTTTCTTTAAATAATATACAGTGTGTCCCACTTACCATGCTCACCATGGGTATCTTTTTAACGGTGAGAGATACGAGGTCGGTTAAATGACACCAAATGTAGAGTTTGTCAAGGCCAACTATAATGCGAAGAAATATTTTGATAAAATCTATTCGTTTTTGTTTTATACGCAAAAAACAGATTTTGATCATTGTCTCCTCCGTAACTTTTTTATTTATGAAAATATTAAAATAGGAATTCCATATTCTCATGGCAGTTTTCCAAAGTGATTTCGAAAAAAATATGGAATTCATACCAACTCTTCTAGAATTTGAGATATCAGCACCAACTTGAGTTTTTCAAATGTATGTCATAGCTCACTATGAGTTAGTTAAAAATAACTTTTTTTTCTCTTACAGATGATATGTCGCACTGATAGTTTTGTGTTGTTAACAACAAAGTTATCGTCATTTATACAAGAACAAAAAATTATTTGGAAGCCGCCATCTTGAATTTATGAATTTTAACAAGAAAATCATGATCTTCGACCTCAAAAACCCCTACTTACCAATTTTGGATGGAATCGGACCAAATCTTGTCCGCCATCTTGGAGCAGCCATTTTTTTTAATTCAACAAAAATTCCATAATATATTGTCATCGAAATTAAGAACACCTGCCAAATTTCAAGTTAATCAGAGTTATGGAATTTCTGTTCAAATAAAAAAAATGGCTGCTCCAAATAATTTTTTGTTTTTGTATAAATGACGATAACTCGGTTGTTATCAACACAAAACTATTACTGCGACATATCATCTGTAAGAGAAAAATAAGTTATTTGTAACTAAGTCATAGTGGCTATGACCTACATTCGAAAAACTGGAGTTGGTGCTGATATCTCAAATTCTAGAAGAGTTGGTATAAATTCCATATTTTTTTCGAAATCACTTTGAAAAACTGCCATGAGAATGTGAAATTTCTATTTGAATATTCTCATGAATAAAGAAGTTACGGAGGAGATATGAAAATGATCAAAATCTGTTTTTTGCGTATAAAACAAAAACAAATAGTTTTTATCGAAATATTTTTTCACATTATAGTTGGCCTTGACAAACTCCACATTTGGTGTCATTTAACCGACCTCGTATCTCTCACCGTTAAAAAGATACCCATGGTGAGCATGGTAAGTGGGACACACTGTATATGTTCGACTATAATAAATGTAAACTTGTACATTATTTGTCTAATCAACATTTTCATACCCTCTTCACAATTATTCGAACATTGATTGCATTCATCTGAGCAAATCTTTTGGCCCTGATTGAGTTCGTAATCATTAAAGTGAGTATAATAACTATTGGCTATCATCGAAATATTCTCGAATTAATGATCCTAATTTTATATATATTTGATTGATAAACTAGGGCAGTAGTCTTGGGTACTGCAACTTCTCAACTGATCTACAACACTTATTATAAATTTCGAGTAATAGAGCATACGAAACCAGGTATTATCAAGTTATTATGATCCAATTAGGGAGTAATTCCAGGTATTGCCTCTCAATCCGGAAAATTGATTGATCTGAGCATGGAACTGAAAGTAACTACTAACATTTATTCATTTACATTATGTTCATATTTCAAATTAGGTAAGTTAATGTCACCATGAATTTGTCTCTCGCTAATTTGTGGGGATTATATTCCTATTGATATTTGCGATCTTTCTCCATTACCGTGAAAGATATTTGGTGTGCTTTTTTCAATCTAAATTGCATTTTTTGATTGTGCAGTGTATCTAAAGGTCTGTTCGTTTGTGTTTGCTCGACCTGCTAAACTTAGTTTTCCTTCTATAGTTTTCTCTGTTTACATTTTGTCATGAACAGAGACAACTATGGAAACAAAATCTACTTCAGCTAGTTTAGCAATACAACCGATCAGACTGAATATAACAATGTTAATATGGCTCAACGTACCTATGTTATGTTCTCAAAACAATCGATTTTGGACCAAGTGAACCGGAAACGGATAAACTACAGTAACGCATAGTGTCTTTTCGACTTAATAAACTCGAATGGAACTAATTTAGAAGGATCTAAAAAACCCATGTGACTACATTGTGTAAAAACTATTAAAATAGTAGTTGACATGCAAGTATTCATGCTCTTTCATGATGAATTATATATCTACGATCTAGATAATTGAAGTTGTATCCTGCAATGCAATTTTCCAATCAACTAATCCTGTCATAGGGCACATGAAAATGTAATGGCTTCTTCATGTTATATGCTGGTATATTCGAATGGAACAGAAATAAATTTGAGCTGTTATGCTCAGTTTTATGACGTTTATTAATGTTCACACTTCATATGCAGTTTAGTTTTGGATTTTTCAACTACTCAAACCTAGATGCTGACTTTGATATCAGGATTATTGTACTATATCATAGGCAACCGAGCATGACATTTCTTGATCAGTGATGATGTTACAAATACGTAAGATATACCTACTAACATGCACCTAATCAAAACAAGACACAAAAGGACATAGGTACGACACAAACACCAAACGATAACATCTTTCCACCATATATCTAATCATACCTACATGAGATAAGTTTCATTATTTTCTATATGACAGAAGGTATAAAAAATGATAGTCATTACAACTAAGAGTATTTGCGCTGTATCTGCGAAATGAATAGCCAACCAATTCTTGTGTTCTCGTTGCCATAATTCGTTTTATCTATTCTAATTAGGTTGCTCTAGGTACTTTCATTTGTGTTTCATTTCAATAATTTCATTAATAGGATGTCTAAAAGTATAATGTGATTCAACATTGTTTGAGAGAATCAACCACTCCACTATAAGATATTGTGGAGCTTTACCACAGATTTTATGAATATTACCTGTACCTCATTGAATTTTAGTATTAGGCTGAAGGTTCAATCATCTTCCATTCATCCTAGACTGACAGTTGTACACAAATCAATTGCGAATCCTCTATCTTCCACTTATTTCAGTTTTTCACTCTACACCTCCTTATTATCCATTCAGATATCATTAGATATATGTACATAATGCTATCTACCTCGAATAAGCGAATAGACTAGATGAGCAATGCTGTCGTCAAAAGTCAATATCAATTCATTATTGATTATAAACCCTTTATCTCATTCGACTATTCATATTTGGTAAGAATTTCGAGTGTTTTGATAGATTTTCTTCGAATTTGTTGTTTGCTGAACTGTTTTGTTAACCCATAGTCTAAGGTATGCCATCAGAGTATTAGACATCTGACTTTAAATATATATAGAATTAATAAAGAATATAGAATTGGATTGAAATCTCCACATGTTCACCAACAGTATTCAAGTTCATGAAAATTTTCTTTCTCTCCTGCTACAAAACACTCATAAATGTGTGTCTCAAACGAATTGTCTGAAGCTGCGGTGTGTATTGAAGATGGTTTTATCGTTTTATGCTGTGGATGCATCCTTCGAGGAATTGGATATAATCTAAATTTAATCAGTGGCGTAAAAAATATGGGAGGAAAAGTTGCCACAACCCCCTGTAGGGCACCACTGGATAAAATGTCCAGAATGGCTACCTGGTCAAAAAATGACCTATTCAAAAATGAAACCATATATTATACCGAAGTTGAATGCATCATATTACATCTTTCTTGAGATATTGCTAAACAACCATTTTTTTTCTCAACTTTAACGCCCTGTATCTCGAGAACTGAACACTATGTATGTCCCTATCCCAGTGATCACAAGGTCTATCATCTGTCGAGCATTGTCGGTCGAATTTCGTAACACCCAGTGTATCAATTTTGTACAAACCTCACAGTGAGACGAAAATATCAAGATGGGTAACTTTCTCATTCTAAATCGCTCGTCTCCCGATTTCTCAAAAACTGCGGCCCATCTAGTCTATCCGTTCAGTCGACCTAGCCACCTACTTGCTAGCTTACGGTGCAGCTGTTCCGCCACCTCTGCCTCCTCGGGATAGAAGCGCGGCCCCCCGCGACCCCCGCTCTTGAGCACCGTGTCGGTCACGTGGTCGTGGTCGCGGTGCGCCTCGGCGCCCTCCGCCGCGTCCACCAGCGGGTTCTCGAGCGGTGCGCCGGCGCCGTCTACCGGCAACAGGTGGTCGAGATCGTGGTGGGGGTCCGTCGAGGCGTTCTCCGCAGCTGAAATCGTGTTCGACTCGTCTCAGATCGGTGGGGGTCGGGTCGGGTCGGAGCGACAGCAGGCCGTGAGGGAGTGGGGGGTTGCTGGTTAGGTGGATTCACGTCTAGTTATACCAGCCAGGGTTGGGATTGTTGTTAAAAAACCAGAGAATCTTCGGAACTTCGAGGTCAAGTGAGATCACCCACAACAAATAGTATTTCTTCCTTCTTTATGAGAGAAACTGAGAGTGAGGTGATAGCTCAGTGGTCTTCGTATCTGACGTCCACGGCGGTGACCGGAGTTCAACCACTCAAGTAATTTCTCAAAAATATACTTTTCAGGTGAAAGGTTCATTTAGGCCAAGTTAGGTTAAATGTATTTTCTTTATTTATAGTCCAATGAATGAAGGAGGAAAAAAAGGCAAAGTTAACGTTAATTACGCACTATTTTCATCTTCCGGTTGGGAGTAGCTTTTGGTACCTCATTAAACATGAGATAAAGTTTGACAGGAAAACGCGTGCGATGGCGGAGAAAATGGCCCCAAAAGACCAGGAAAATAGGTTTTCACCCAATATCTCCTAAAATATGGCAGTTAGAGATTTTCGGTTCCGATAAAAATTGAAGTTCAGTTAATTTTCGACAAAAATGGACCTCATCATTTTTCTCAAAAATGTTCCCGGTTTCGAGAAAAACGGCACGAAACGCACCTCGAATAATGAGCTTCTGTGTTGTATGCCAGAGAGCACAGTCCGTGTATTTACACATCGGCGGGGGGACAAATTATTCAATAACTTTGTTAAAAATGCATATTTTCTCATGATTCAAAGTTCATGTGGAAGAGGAATTTTGCTGCTATCATACCCTGCGTGGCCGCATGGTTTGTAGCGGACGACCCGAGCGCCACGTAGAGCACACACGCGGCGAACGACGGAGGAACGAAAATAATAAATTTATAGCGTGTACATTTAGATATACTGGTTTTTTCCCGGGATATCAAAGGTATGACTTATATACATCGATGGCAAGGTGGGAATTCCCCCGTTACACTAGTTGAGATGTTGAAATGTTAGAAATGAAGAGCACGGAGAAAAAAAACACCGAAAAAAGGCGTTTTTTCCTTGACCCCGCTTTTTCTAATTTTATTGAAAAATGGATGACTTCGTCTAAAAAAGTAATTGTACAATCGAAAAGTAGACCTTCTTAGCTTCCAAATGATGTATCATAGAAACCAATCGGATCATGTATAAATTTTTAATTGATGGTTGTTCACAAAATTTCCCCGCGCTCCAAAAACAGCAAAACATTGGGATTCAATAAACAAAGATTGAATAAAAATTTAAAAAAAAATTGGGTATACAAATTTCAGGGATGACAAAGGACCTTATGAGGACCCATAATCAAGAAAATTTTGAGTAAATTAGTGCATTACAAAAAAAATAGGAACAAATTCCTGGCGAGGTCAAAATTGACCGGGAGAAGAAAGTTTGACCCATGTTCCGATATGGCCAAAAGAGTCAAGCGTGACTCAATTCACAGGGTATGATAGCAGCAGAATTTCTCTTTCACATGAACTTTGAATCATGAGAAAATATGCATTTTTAACAAAGTTATTGAATAATTTGTGTCCCTGCCGATGTGTAAATACACGGACTGTGATCTCCGGCATACAACACAGAAGCTCATTATTCGAGTTGCGCTTCGTGCCGTTTTTCTCGAAACCGGGCGAATTTTCGAGAAAAATGATAGGGACCATTTTTGTAGAAAATTAACTGAACTTCAATTTTTATCTGAACCGAAAATCTCTAACTGCCATATTTTAGGAGATATTGGCTGAAAACCTATTTTTCTGGTCTTTTGGGGCCATTTTCCCCGTCATCGCACGCGTTTTCCTGTCAAACTATGTCTCATGTTTAATGAGGTACCAAAAGCTACTTCCAACCGGAAGATGAAAATAGTGCGTAATTAATGTTAACTTTTTCCCTTTATTTATTGGACTATTATGCAGAAAAGATGAGTCGCTGGTATAGCTAGACGCTTATTGTGTTGGGTGGGGTACACCGATCGAGTCCGTTCTTAGAACGTTTTTATCGAGTCGTCAAGTCACTTCGATCCTGTGTTCCGACAGTTTTGCGACTTCACATTGTCCAGTTTTGTTGCAGAAAGCGTGAATTGTATTTCAGAATTAGTCACTTGTATTTCAGAAAGCATGAATTGTATTTCATAATAGTCACTTGTATGTCAGAAAGCATGAATTGTATTTCAGAAAGCTTCAATGGTATTACAGAATAGTCGATTGAATTTCAGAAAGCGTTAATTGAATTTCACAATAGTCAATAGAACTTCAGGAAGCGCCAGTTGTATATTTCAGAATAGTCATGTGTATCTCATGAAATATTATTTGAGATACAATAAACGCTTCCTGAAATTCGATAGAATATTCTGGAATAAACAATAGGCGACTGAATTCTTTTTTTATGAATAAAAACATCACTCAGATACCTCTCAATTTAATTCTTTTTTGGATTTCTCTTTCGATTTTCAGGTGCTAAAATCAACAATAATGCCACGGTAATGTATCGGGTTTATTCCTTATTAGACAAAAAAATCGATTGTCCCAGAATATTTTCTCATCTGCTGTGGCTCATTGCATTTGTTTTGATGATAATATCATTATATAAATTCACACTATATCGAGGACATTTGAGGGTGAACGAGACAACACGGCGTACGAATTGTGAACGGTGCCTTCTCAGTTCTCAGCATTCAACACATTGTTGCCAAGTCTTTAACATCAACATGATATTTTGTTATGGAGTATAAGAGATATTTGTACATGCTGGTTGCTCGTAAAAGTCGAGAACGAACTATAATATCATGGCTTCCTCATATTATGTTTCATATCTCGTGTTTTATTCAACGTCAGGACCCTAATCTTTTTGATGAATTGATTATACTTGATGACATGACAACCTCGCATCATGAGTTTTTTTTTATGTTCTGGTTCCCACGAAAAGGGATATCCTGTAATGTTCAGAGAACATCGTGAGAACCAAGGGAAATAAGGTAGGAATTGGTGTTCTTCATGAATTTCTGGAGGTTATATGCCTCGGGGAACACCTCCCTTGGCAATGTGTTCCAGAGCCTCGCTGAGTCTTTGAAAAAAGATATTCTGCAGGTCTCCAAGTTGACCACGAGGGGTGCGAAGCCTCAACTCGACGGGTTAATCTCGCGGGGACTGCCAAGGGAGGAACAATTGTTGCTATGTCAGAAGAGCATCGTCCATGATAATATTTATAAAATAGAGTCAGATCACCAACTTTTCTACGGTGTTCCAGACAGGTGAGTGAGTTTGTGAACCGAATCCAACAGCTTCCGGGTATGTTTGGGTGCTGCACTGCAAATATGAGAACAGTATTTCAGATCAGGTCGGATCTGTGCCTTATAGATCATAAGCAGCTGACTGGAAGTGAAATAGTTTCTGGCCGCGAAATGAATTCCAATTCCTCAAGCTCACAATGATCACAATGGAAAACATGATTTGTGACACATTCCAGTTTCTAAGTCTTTTCAGATTGACGATGAAACGCCCTATTATTTTAGAGCAATGGAAGAATTCATTCATGTGATCAATTTCGAGTCTCATATTATCATATAAAGAGTGTTGTTGCTAGAGTAGGTCAAAACTACTCGCAACATTGTGATGAAATCTTTTATGGATGTGTTATATCTTACACTCATGAGGGCGCGTACAGAGTAGATTCAAACATAACTTTTTTGAGGATTGATTTCTCAATACAAATTCAATGTGAGCTTGACCATCATTTATTTTTACACTAAATAGTTATTCTTGGTAAAGCTCGATACTGTGTACCGTTAAAGCTCGATACTGTGTACCGTTTTCGGAATATTTTGATTTGGGTATGATGAAGTGATAATTGTTGCTGGTATAAGGTTATGTATTAGATTGGGTATTATGCCTAACTATGACCTTTTCCAACTAGCAATGGACGAAAATGGTTGATATCGAGAGAAAGCAACTGCTTTTCTGGCTATATACCGAAATATATGCAATAATTCGTATAGACAGATGAAATCTCAAGTGTTACCTTCCTGTGTTTCGAGCTCTTGGCTTTCATCAGTGCAGGGCTGTCCCAGATAGCATTCTTGACCGCTATCTGGTGCGAACCTGACCCAACGTAAACGCATCACAGCATTTAATACCCCACGAGGCGTTCAACGTCCGCGAAATGGACGCCGAGCGCCACCTGGTGAGGAAAGAAACACTCAGAAAACAAGATCCTATTTCAATAGTCACAAACAAAGAGAAACCCGAAGTCACTACCAGCCACTCCCTATATATTACTTCATTATTTTCAAATCAAAATATTGCGGAAATGGTACACAGTATTGAGTTTTATGAGAAGTACCTTTTTGGTGTTCAATTGAATGATGTTCTAGTTCTCATGAAATCTGGACTGAAACATCTAACTTCAAAAAAGGTATGTAGCGTCCTCTATGAGAGTAGTTATGAAAACAGATTCATGGGATGTGACAGCTTCCAGATCATATCGTAATAAAATTTTATCACAATTTTGCAAGTGATTTCGGCATGTTTGTAAAAAATGTGTGCAACAATTTATTTTTCAACACATTGTATCTTGAGAACGGTGTTCTTCACCTGACCTACCCTAGGTCAGGTTTTTTTTAAACTTCTTTCATAAATTTTGAGCAAGATTGGTGAGTAACTAATGACAAGTATAGTCGGTATAGAGTCTACTATAGTCACTTCCCAGCGAGCACAAAAACATCTCAGAGATGTTGAAAGTACGAGATTTCGAGACATTGAACCTCCACTGCGATGTTCTGTTCACACATGAATAGAACTATTTTAGAACATCCAATGTCCGCCGCAGGCGGCAATTATCGAGATGTCCTTGATATGTCACAAAACTACCTTCTCCCTAGTTCTTTTTAAAGCCTTCTCATGGACACAACAAAACATTCTCAACGCGTCTTGCGCA